TTCTCGTAAGAATCGTCCAGCTGTTACATCTCTGAACTTGATTTCGCTTACACTTTTGATACAGTGACATGCTTCGCGATGGAAAGAATCAGACGATTGTGGTTTCTGGTGAATCCGGAGCGGGTAAGACCGTGAGTGCCAAATATATCATGCGCTACTTTGCGACTCGCGAGTCTCCCGATCAGCCTGGAAAATATACCAGCAGCCGCGCAGATGCAATCAGTGAAACCGAAGAGCAGATCCTAGCTACTAACCCGGTCATGGAAGCGTTCGGTAACGCCAAAACCACTCGTAACGACAACTCCTCCCGTTTCGGCAAATATATCGAGATCATGTTCGATGACCGAACGAACATCATCGGAGCTAAGATCCGGACCTATCTTCTTGAGCGGTCAAGACTCGTCTTCCAGCCTCTCAAAGAGCGCAATTACCACATCTTCTACCAGCTGGTAGCGGGTGCTTCTGACGCGGAGAAACAGGATCTGGGTCTCCTGGCTGCTGAAGACTTTGAGTATCTCAACCAAGGTGGTACTCCAGTAATCGACGGTGTTGATGACAAGGCCGAATTCGAAGCGACTAGGAAGTCGCTGGCTGTGATTGGTGTGCCGCAGGAAGACCAGACAGGCATCTTCCGCGTTCTCGCTGCTTTGCTACACCTCGGCAATGTCAAGATCACAGCTACTCGCACGGATTCGTCAGTTTCGTCGACCGAGCCTGCACTTATCCGCGCGTGTGAGATGCTTGGAATCGATGCTACGGAGTTTGCGAAGTGGATCGTGAAGAAGCAACTTATCACGCGTGGTGAGAAAATCACCTCCAACTTGACACAACAACAGGCCTTGGTTGTCCGAGACTCCGTCGCCAAGTTTATCTATTCCAGTCTATTTGATTGGCTAGTGGAGAAGATCAACCGCCGCCTCGCTACTGATGAAGTGCTTGAGCAGTTCAAATGCTTCATTGGTGTTCTTGATATTTACGGGTTCGAACATTTCGCCAAGAACTCTTTCGAACAATTTTGCATCAATTATGCCAACGAGAAGTTGCAACAAGAATTCAACCAGCATGTGTTCAAGCTTGAGCAGGAAGAATATGTCCGAGAAGAGATCGATTGGACATTCATTGACTTTTCGGATAACCAACCTTGTATCGATCTTATTGAAGCGAAGCTCGGTGTCTTGGCCCTATTGGATGAAGAGTCTCGACTTCCCATGGGCTCGGATGAGCAGTTTGTCATGAAGCTTCACCATCACTTTGCCGCTGACAAGCAAAAGTTCTACAAGAAACCTCGCTTCGGGAAATCTGCATTCACCGTCTGTCACTATGCAGTCGATGTTACTTATGAATCTGATGGATTTATCGAGAAGAACCGTGACACTGTGCCAGACGAGCATTTGGAAGTGTTGCGCAATTCTTCCAATCCTTTCATTAAGGAGATTCTAGAAACTGCTGCGGCCGTTCGTGAGAAGGACTCTGCTGCTATGTCATCTAAGCCAGTTGCAGCAGCTCCAGGGCGTCGGATTGGCGTTGCGGTCAATCGCAAACCTACGCTTGGAGGAATCTTCAAGTCTTCGCTGATTGAATTGATGCACACCATCAACAACACAGAAGTTCATTACATCCGTTGCATCAAACCCAATGAGGCAAAGGAATCTTGGAAATTCGAAGGTCCTATGGTTCTCAGTCAGCTGAGAGCTTGTGGTGTCCTGGAAACTGTCAGAATCAGTACTGCTGGCTACCCGACACGATGGACTTATGAGGAATTTGCGGTCCGTTACTACATGTTGTGCTATTCCTCGCAATGGACCTCGGAGATTCGGGATATGTGTCATGCAATCCTTCGAAAGGCCCTGGGAGATGAGAAGCAAGATAAGTATCAACTTGGTCTTACTAAAATCTTCTTCCGAGCTGGTATGCTTGCATTCCTGGAGAACCTCCGAACGTCCAGGTTGAACGAATGCGCCATTATGATTCAGAAGAACTTGCGTGCCAAGTATTACCGCCGCCGCTACCTCGATGCTCGTGACTCAATTCTCACCACTCAGGCCTTCATTCGAGGTTTCTTGGCACGGCAGCAGGCCCATGAGATTCGCCGGACCAAGGCTGCTACTACCATCCAGCGGGTCTGGCGTGGCCAGAAGGAGAAGAAGCGGTACAATCAAATCCGCAAAAACTTCATTCTCTTCGAGTCTATTGCCAAGGGATTCCTGTGCCGACGCAACATCATGGACTCTATTAATGGAAATGCGGCTAAGGTCATTCAGCGTGCTTTCCGCTCCTGGGTTCAAATTCGAGCCTGGAGACAGTATCGCCGCCATGTTATCATTATCCAAAACCTCTGGAGAGGAAAACAGGCAAGAAACTCCTACAAGAGACTTCGCGAGGATGCCCGTGATCTTAAGCAGATCTCTTACAAGTTGGAGAATAAGGTGGTTGAGTTGACCCAGTACTTGCAATCTCTTAAGCTTGAAAATAAAACCTTGGTTTCACAGCTGGAAAACTACGATGCCCAATTGAAGTCATGGAGAACCCGACACAATGCCTTAGATGCTCGCACGAAGGAGCTCCAGGTTGAAGCAAACCAGGCTGGTATCACCGCGGCCCGGTTAGAGGCGATTGAAGAGGAGATGAAAAAGCTTCAACAAAGCCACACTGAGGCTCTGGCTACCATCAAGCGCCTCCAAGAAGAGGAGAGGATATCCCGTGACGCTCTTACAGTCGCTGATGGCGAGTTGGGGCGCCTCAGGCTATTGGATTCTGACCATGAGAAGGATAAGACTGGTCTCCGGCAGCGGATTTCCGATCTTGAGGAACAGCTCGAGACTGCGAAGAGATCTGTGCCTTTGCACGGCATGAACGGCGATGGTCTATCCAACGGTGGCGCAGTCTTGAGCACTGCCCCGGGCTTGATCAACCTGGTATCTTCAAAGAAACCTAAGCCCAAGAGACGCAGTGTCGGTGCCGAGAGGATCGAGACGGATCGCTTCAGTGGTGCATACAACCCTCGGCCTGTTTCGATGGCGGTCACCCCTGGATCTATGATGTCCCGTCAAAATGCAGCCATCTCTCCTGGTCTAGAGTCGGTCGAGATGGAACTCGAGAACCTACTTTCCGAAGAGGAAGAATTGAACGAGGAAGTCGCCATGGGTCTTATCCGCAACCTGAAGATTCCGCTCCCAACTTCGACACCGCCTCCAACTGAAAAGGAAGTCTTGTTCCCAGCATACTTGATTAACCTTGTTACGTCGGAGATGTGGAACAACGGATTTGTTAAGGAGTCGGAGCGATTCTTGGCCAACGTTATGCAGTCTATCCAGCATGAAGTTATGCAGCATGATGGGGACGACGCGATCAACCCCGGTGCCTTCTGGTTATCCAACGTGCACGAAATGCTATCATTTGTCTTCCTGGCCGAGGATTGGTATGAAGCACAGAAGACCGAGAACTACGAGTATGACCGCCTGTTGGAGATTGTCAAGCATGACCTTGAGAGCTTGGAATTCAACATCTATCACACTTGGATGAAGGTCTTGAAGAAAAAGCTGTACAAGATGATCGTTCCAGCCATCATCGAGTCTCAATCACTTCCCGGCTTTGTCACCAGTGAAACGAATCGTTTCCTTGGGAAGCTTCTGCCCTCCAACAATAACCCAGCCTACAGCATGGACAACCTCCTCAGTCTATTGAACGGTGTTTACAAGGCAATGAAGGCCTTCTACCTTGAGGACGCCATCGTCCTTCAGACCGTCACGGAGCTCTTGCGCTTAGTTGGTGTCACTGCTTTCAACGATCTCCTCATGCGACGTAACTTCCTGTCATGGAAGCGTGGTCTGCAAATCAACTACAACATCACTCGTATTGAGGAGTGGTGTAAGAGTCATGATATGCCGGAGGGGACGTTGAAACTGGAGCATTTGATGGTAAGATTTCTTGTTTGATATTTATTTGGGTATTATACTAACACCTACATAGCAAGCGACCAAGCTTCTGCAGTTGAAGAAGGCTACTCTGAATGATATTGAGATCATTCAAGACATTTGCTGGATGTAAGTGGACCCAAGTATCATCTCCCACGAATTCACATGACTAATTTTGTGCAGGCTGTCTCCAAACCAAATCCAGAAACTTCTGAACCAGTACCTGGTGGCAGATTACGAACAGCCCATCAACGGCGAGATCATGAAGGCCGTCGCTTCTCGCGTCACAGAGAAGAGCGATGTGCTCCTCCTGGCTCCGGTAGACATGGAGGACAGTGGCCCGTACGAGATCGCCGAGCCGCGTGTTATCACTGCCCTGGAGACTTATACTCCATCCTGGCTACAAACACCGCGGTTGAAACGACTTGCTGAGATTGTGTCCGCGCAAGCGATGGCACAGCAAGAGAAGCTCGAATGGGACCATGGGATGGTTGAGGAATAGATCTGTACTGTTGTATATTAGACTTATGGATTTCCTGTGAGCTACGGATTACGACTTGCCTGGATTATCCATGGCCTTTGCGATACAGTGTTGCGCGTGATTTTCGTTTGTTTCAATTGCATATGACATCTTGGCTTATAGACCAGAAGAGGTTGCTAAGAGAGTTCCTGTAATGAGTTTTCTCCTTCTAAAACATAGACGACAATCCAAATACAAAAAATGGAATGCCCGAAGGGTTTATTGTCCCGAGTAGAGCAATTGATATGTAAGTTTTTTTTATTTTTTTATTTCATGAATTTTGAACATATACTATGGATTAGTTCTCACCCCCTATCGTCGGAGTGCTACAATGACTACCCCAAGATGGAGAAAAAGAAAATAAGAAACGAAACCAAAGAAAGGAACCTTAAGAGATATATATCTGAGTAGTCCTTAGATCGGGTCAGGTGATCCCAACATGTATGAATCCCAGCACCGTCAATATATGCAATCAGCGATAGCACAGTGGGGCACACTATTATCTGCGACTTGCAACATCCAACCCATACCATCACCTACCAATCTAAAATCCATACACAGTCAAAATGGCCATCACCACGCTGAACTTCATCACCGGCAACAAAAACAAGCTCGCCGAGGTGCAGGCTATCCTCGGTAAGGTCATCGAGGTGAACAACCAGGAGGTCGATGTCCCCGAGATCCAAGGCACAATCGAAGAAATCGCCAAAGAGAAGGCCAGACGCGCCGCCGAAGTGGTAATTTCTTCCTAGACTTTTCATGCTGAAATTGCATTTGCTTACGAGGGAATAGATCAATGGACCTGCCTTGACCGAAGACACTGCCCTGGAGTTCCATGCGCTCAAGGGTCTTCCTGGGCCATACATGTATGTCTTAGCTATATTAAGGCTTACTTACTATGTGATAATAGTACTGATGATTGCCAGCAAATCTTTCATGGAGAATCTGGGCCACGAGGGCTTGAACAAGATGCTCGATGGCTTCGAGGACAGAACTGCCGAAGCTGTGTGTACCTTTGCCTTTTGCCAGGGCCCTGGCGCAGAGCCGATTATTTTCCAGGGAAGGACTGAGGTGAGGCAAATACAGTCATTTCAAATTTGAATATATCTAATTGTGATTGATGTACAGGGTACTATTGTGCGGCCCAGAGGTCCAGCAAAATTCGGTAAGTGAACATCCAACTGAGGTCTGCAGAAAATCAAAATCAAGATCTGATATATGACAGGCTGGGATGCTATCTTCGAATATAATGGCAAGACATATGCCGAGATGGACAAAGACGAAAAGGTAAGAACGGTCTTGTTTTCCCGTGAAAAAAAGCCATGTACTAAGAGCCCTGCGAACAGAACAAGGTCTCGCACCGGTACAAGGCGCTGGTGAAGTTGCAGCACTGGCTAGCCGACCAACAGTAAATGGGTATAGAACTCGGCCTGCAGAAGACCATAGAAGAATGTGAAACGAAGATCAAGAATTGTATATGGCCTGGCGCATTCCCTCAATCCGCATTCTGCGCATGCGATTGCTTCCACGAATCGACCCATTGCGCGATCCGCTGGCAGTTCGAGTCTACGTCTGCATCCTGCTCGCTGTTCAACTCGACCACGATCTCTTCGTCGAATGCCTCCCGCGCTTCGTCTGATAGGACGCCGAAGATTTCCGCGTCGACGTTCTCTTCTAGCTTTTTCTCATGGTAGCCCCTTGGAATAGGTTAGTTTGACGGCGTAGATATGTTGCGAGGTTGATTGTCATACCGGGAGGAAAGTCGGTCGTAAAGAACATCTGTAGTGGGGCAGCGGAGGACAACGACGAGATCGATCCAGGACTTAGGGAAGAGGTCACAGGCATGCCAGTCGATCAAGTAACCGCCATCAGGAATCTCATCTTCGAGGGCATCGAGGAGCTACATCGCGCATGGATTAGCATGTGAATTGTTGAGTCTTGAACCAATGGTGGGAAGAGGAGCTTCCAGTTCAAGAGAAGAGCTTGTAGGAACCATTCTCACCTTATCCTCGTCAACAACCCAGGTCTTCAATTCCTCGTCGTATTCATCGAAGCATCCACGGTCCTTTGCGACCTGGTTAATGGATAGGTGCTTCAAGCCGATCTCTTGCGCGAGTTGTTCGCAGTGGACGGTCTTCCCCACGCCGGGGGTGCCGGTGATGATCACATTTGGAGAGGTGCGCATAGTTTCTTAAAGGATAGAGATCTTGAAGTGGAATTGTAGATTGTAGATTGAAAATGGTTTCCCCAGATGAAATAATTCCATCGGACTAATTTTCCTCCCGGCTATCTTATCGTGGAGGGGTAAGGTACCGCATTTGGAATGTATAAAAGACATTTATAGAAACTTGTAACTATGTGTTCTTTATTTGACTAACACGATACAAATGATATGCATTGTTAATGGAATCGTTTGATTTTATGCGGCTTCATGTTCCGGGCTGGTTGTACATAGCCTAGTACCAATTAGCATTAGAACGATGAGAATTGAACAATCACTCACTTGAGAAGCTCGAATATCTTGTACTTTTGCAGATAAGGCGTTCCTCTGCGATATGCTTTAAGTAGACGAGTTGGATCTGAGGGCTTGACAAACGTCCCGAGCAAGCGCTGCATTGCAGGAGAAGTCTTGAACATGGGATCGAATACCAGCAGATTTGCGCTGCCGTTGTCTCGGATTTCAAAACCTACAATTGTCATAGAATGACCTGGCTCAAGTTAGATTGAGGTATATAGGTTTGAAAGTTACAGAAAGTTGTACCTTGATGCTGGAAGTATATCGGAGGGAGATCAGTCTGAACGATCTTCGCATCGTCGTCTGGTGAGCACGCTGATCGGAAATATTCGGCGACATCAATGTAAAGAGCCTCATAGGCCCGAACGTTGCCTGATTCTGACAGACTCCGGGCTTCACATCTAGATATAGGGTCAGCGGGATCGAATCGAAGCAGGCTAGATAACTCACGGGATTCCTAGACTCATGAAAAGCGCTTGTGCCTAGGTACTCGTTAGGTATAGCAGATAATCAATACGGAGAAAAGACCTACTTCAGGCGTACCAATAAACTTGCGCGTATTTTTGATACCCCCTGTCTCAGCTCTTCCAGAGCTATTGAACCCCATATCCCAGGCCGACTCAATCATATCCTGCAACTCAAGGATCGTTGGTCCCTTATTTGGAAAGTGCTCATAGCCAAAGCTACGAGACTTTTGCAGCCAAGAAACCAGCATTTGAATATTGCGATAGCCACAAAACCCGCCTTCCCGACGCATCTTGCAGATATGGCGGACTTTGGGGCTACAGAATAATGCCCGCTGGACAGATTTGTCCTGTTCACACAGCCGAGCAAGAACAGGAATTAAGTTGTCGGTCTCATTTTCTACTGTCTCGCGCCGTGTGAGTTTGCCATCGGACGTGATTTGGGTTTGCTTTGATGTGCTGCCGCCCTTCTCCAGCATTTTCCTTAGCCATGAGGGCATTTTCTTCTCGTGGGCATGCGGACCCAATTCCGAGCGCTGGATAGTGTTAGTACTTATCTTCAGAGATGCAAATCTGGGACAAATACCCCTAATCTCTTCGTCCCGTTGGCATTGGTTGCCCTTGGGGGACTGTGAGGCCGTGGTGTCTTGGCAGTGTTTACTCGCGAGGAGTCTCGTTGCATCCCACGCTTGCCTCCTTTGTGGGAGTTCAGCATGTCGAGTGAATCTTCATCATCAAAGTACCCATCGCCATGTACGTCTGTAGTTGGGCGTGCCGGTGTGCCCCCAGTATCATCCATGCCCTCCGCAACATGCAGATCCAGGTGACTGGAGAGCTCGGCAATTTCTATTGTCTCGCCACATCCATGTGGACAGTCGACATATTTGTCTGCGCCACCCTGGCTCACTGGCAGTGAAGCTGAGTTTTGGCCAGCAAGATCCTGCGGGTTATCCTGTATGGAACTAGCTAGCCCTGTTTCTGGATGGCAGTATTCGATGTGTTGGGACACAAAATTAGCATCGGAGTCTGCGAAAGTGCAAAAGGGGCATGAGGCGGTGTTGTTGTCGGCCATGGAATTTTCGTCCAGTGCTGACATTGGAGGGGAAATTGTTAGGTTGATGCTGCAGACACCAAGATGAGTAGCAGGTGTATATGTACAAAACGCAGAGAGAGAAAAAGAATGCCAAAGTTGATTACACGAAGAGCCAGAAGTATAGACAAAGGATTTAATTTGATGCCTAAATGGCCAGACAGCCCGTTCGCCGAGACCCACTAGGCGGAGTTGTCAGTTCATGCGGCGTACACATGCGCAACACACAACATACAACATACAATCTGGATTATCTTTCATTCCATATATTAATGAACCTTGGAAGAGATATCATTATTGGTCTCTTGCTTGTCCTCTTTCTGATCCGGTTTTCTTCCCAGCCCTAGCCGAACTGGTCCAGCTCGCCTTTGAGAAGTGCTTCCCTTCATGACAGCCGTGGGCATTGAACTTCTTTGGCCTTTTTCTGGCCTCTTTTCATAGGAGCCATGTGGTCATGAATATCTGGGATTGACAGATTTCCCATCATTCCACGATGCCAAGGAAGGCGAACACTCTAGAGACCAGACTATAAAGTCTCTCTCTGCAAGATATTCAGTCTTCTTTTCGGGCGACGACCAATGGGGCTGCTGGAGCCTCCGGATGGCACGAGGAATCGTGAATTGCTCAGGGATTCTATTCTGGAAGGTGAGAATCCGAAATTCTCCAGTCACCTACAGGCTCCGCGGTCTCAAACTCTTCAGCTTGGCCATTAGCGCCTCTCGCTTGCTGTTAAACTGCCCGGAGCGCAGATTTCCTCAAGCTGGAATTCCAACAAACTGAGTGCGTAGCTCAAGCTCCTGGATTTGAATATGGACCTTTGGCCACTTGGTGCACGTGGCCTCCTTCCTATAGTGGCCATGAGGTATCGACTAGATCTGAGCAATATGCTGATAGCTATTCTCAATGTAGGGAAAGAGATTAAGAAATCTTACTCTCCGCGTGGCTCTCTGGGTTCAAATAACCAGAATCTGCCCCCAAGGTAGATGAAGTAAATAATCGGAAAAAACGGCAACGATCTTTGACAAATCGTGAATCATCTAGGTATGGGGCTACTTTGGCTCTTCTCTCCATAAGATGTATGGCAATGTCCATACAGATAGCTATTGCGGCTATTTTCTGTGACTATAAAATTGTATACAGGAGGATCAACATGCCCACTCGATGTTTCTGGCATGTTCCGAAAAGTCGCAATCATTTCTATCGTGACGTGACGGCTTGGGTCACCGCGCAGCAGAATCATCATAATATCAACAAGGACAACTGAATCTCAAGCATGGTCCATTCAAGTATATCACTGTACTAGTACTAGAAATCAATTGTCGAGTCCTGATATATACTCCGGAAGAACATTCACCCCGCCAAGACCCAATGAGGTACATTTCATATGAAAATGGCGTGATTGGTGGGGCCTCCGACATCGTTGGTTCCTGGCCGCAACAGGCAGGCGGTCTCTCTCTGCATAACTCTATTTCCAATTGAGTCACAAAAAAAAAAATATGCAACCCGAAGTGGCTCCTAGGGTCTCCGCTTTCGCCGGTTCCCCCTCCAAAACCACTTCTCACTCCCTTGCATTACATTGTACACTGTCTTTACTTATTTTGGGTCGACACTATGGATACCACCATTCTTAATTCGAATTTGCCAGTGAACACGCAGGCCCATAGCAATTGGGTCGTGCAGAAATTCGGCGGCACGAGTGTCGGCAAGTTTGCGCGCAATATCATTGAGCAGGTGGTACAGTATGACGCACTTTTTCGATTTCGACTTGACGGAGACTGACAATTGTATAGACCGAGTCTCGTGAACAACAGAGTCGCCGTCGTATGTTCCGCGAGAAGCAGTTCCACAAAAGCCGAAGGCACAACCAACCGGTGAGTCACTACTCCGCAGCCATATGACGCTTGAGGTATTGAGATACTAACACCAATTTCTTCCAACCAGGCTATTGCGGGCAGCGCGGGACGCTGAAAATCCTCGTTCAAGGCAATATCTGACATTGGTGGAGGCTGTTCGTTTGGAACATGTACAAGTCGCCCAGGAACAATTGAAATCGGTAGAAATAAGGGATCAAGTGATTGCGGATATTACCGGAGAATGCGAACGAGTACTCAAGTTCCTGGAGGCCGCTCAAACCCTGGGAGAAATCAGTGCGCGCTGTGTGGACAAGGTGATGAGTACCGGCGAGAAGCTGAGCTGTCTGCTCATGGCCGCCCAATTACAAGACCGCGGGGTTGATTCGCAGTATGTGGATCTTGCAGAAGTCATTGATTTCCCCATCGGTCCCCACGGCTTGGACCAGGACTTTTATAATACCCTGGCGGCAGCTTTCGGCAGCAAAGTCGCGGCCTGCGGGCATCGAGTACCTGTGATGACTGGGTACTTTGGTACCATCCCCGGTGGTCTGCTCGATCAGATTGGTCGTGGATATACCGATCTCTGTGCCGCCCTTGTCGCGGTCGGAACTCGCGCCCAAGAGCTGCAGGTCTGGAAGGAGGTAGATGGTATCTTTACCGCGGACCCGCGTAAAGTGCCAACGGCTCATCTGCTCCCGACCATTACCCCCGCCGAAGCCGCCGAATTGACGTTTTATGGATCCGAAGTTATTCATCCGTTCACCATGGAGCAAGTCATTCGCGCACGGATCCCTATTCGCATTAAAAACGTCATGAACCCAAAGAACGCAGGCACTATTATTTTCCCCGACTCTGTGGCCGAACTAGAGAGAACCACACCCGGACATGATCCACGTTTGTTCCGGACCCGGAGTCCAACTCTCGCGCATACACCGAAACGTCCGACCGCAGTCACAATCAAGCATGATATCCTGGTGATCAACGTACATTCCAACAAGCGGTCGCTCTCGCATGGTTTCTTTGCCGGCATTTTCTCCGTATTGGACAAGTGGCGCCTATCCATTGATTTGATCTCGACCAGCGAGGTTCACGTGTCCTTGGCCCTTCACTCAGAGTTGCCCCTTTTGAATGGAAACGGACGGGATGAGTATCAGATCATCGACGAGGATCTCCAGGGTGCATTGAACGACCTGGAGAAGTACGGAACTGTGGATATCATCCCCGAGATGGCCATTCTCAGTCTGGTAGGCAAGCAAATGAAGAATATGATTGGGGTCGCAGGCCGTATGTTCACCACTCTCGGGGATAACAGCGTGAATATCGAGATGATTTCGCAAGGTGAGTAAATAATGATCCCCACTCCCCCGCCCCCCTCGCTCTGCCTTTGTACCCTTGACTGGGGCTAACTGGATCTTTTCTCCCCCTCGCAGGTGCAAGTGAAATCAATATCTCCTGCGTCATTGAAGAACGAGACGCCGACCGCGCCCTGAATATCATCCATACGAGCATGTTCACCTTCCTGGACTAAGCGTCCCACGTTTGCGCATCGAGCAAAAAGTCATTGTTTTAAGATATCCCTTGGGTTTTATTGATAGAAAAAAGTTATGCATCCACCCGAAGTCGAAGTTCCCCGTGAATATAGGAGGACACGACTTTTGTTGGGAAAACCAAGCATGGGCTTTCTTTTTTTGTGATGCATGGGCTTGGAGTTTTCTGCTTTCATTTTCCCCGGTTCTTTTTTTTTCGTCTAGAATAGAAGTCATGAAGCGATTGTTCCATGAGGGATGATTTTCTCTATATTTTGGGATATTCAATCACACACATCTTATATATCAGATTTCTTCTTCTTGGTCCCTTTCCACTGTAGCCTCCTCCTTTCTGCGCCCTGAATAGAACGGAGTACAACGTACTCTGTACCCCCTGATCCGACAGTGAAAGGACCATCGGTGATGATTCTAGCTGGAGCCAGGCGTTTAATGTGTCTCTGTCGCTTCGCTTGAGTCGGAGTCTGTTAGCTCTAGGGTTACTGTCGGGTTGTCCACGAAGCCCTGTCGCACTGGCTAACCTCTTTAGTTTTACATCTCCTTCCTTGTCACAACCCTTTTCTTCCCTGACAGCTCCTGGGTATTTGTAGCGGGGTGGATACGACCTATTTGGTTAAAAGCGAGGTCCATTGAGTCCCTGAATTCTCCAATGGCTTGGAATGGACGAGTGTTAGCATCATGGCGAAAGATCCGAGGACCCTCATAAGAAGGCAAACAGGAGAGCCTGGGTAAAGGGATTATGGTTCGTCCAGCAACCCAGTACAGAGTGAGTAAGTGCATGAAATCTGTTACAAGGTGTCTCTGATATACAAGCAAGGGCATAGGGAAATACACTAGGGACCTCCTAGATTCGAACAATAGACCCCGTTCTAGTTCCAATTCATTGCTCTGTCCTCGTACTCCATACTCTGTGTAGGTTTGGATTATTAGGTTCCGGCACCTGCAGACAAGAGTGCAGCACATGCGTTGTACGATGCAGCCTGGAAGATTGATTGGCCCTCGACGCACCCGAGAGCAATTGGCCACTAGTCAAGGGCGTTAGGAGATCCATGACAGCAGATAAACAAGGGGTGAAAGGTAGCGAGCGTTTCAGAGTTACATCAACACTTCCACATACCGGGAGGCCCGGACCAATTGGGGTGCCAATGCTGGATTGACAGTGTCTCGGTCTAGATTGGTGGTGTGATACTACGTGTACTTGTAGGGCTAGATGTATGCCGGAGTACGGAGTACACTCCGTATATTCTGTATATTGTAGACAGCGTATTGACAAGAGCTAAAGATAGATATACTGTACACTATATGCTTCCAATATACTACTATACAACATATACTATTCAATAATCCAAGCAATAATGCAAACCTGACATACTTCCGTTCATCCTCGGTGGATCAGATCGGCGCTAGAAAATGTGAGCAAGGGAGGGGACCCCCTTTGGTAAGATATGAATTGATAATACGAATGATACCATCCCGATATGCCCCACCTCCCATAGTAAAACGCGTGACGCGTCGAGATAATGACAATACGTGACTGGTATCATCGCACTATCGCACTCCATGATCTCCCTCTCCTCCTCCTCCCCCCCGCCTTTCTTCTTCGCTGAAGGAAAAATTGAACATTTCTAGAATTCTATAATAATGATTTAGTATCTTCCAAGGGTGAACAAGGAAACTGAGAGAAATTCTGAACGATATCTCTTACTTGTCACAGAACCCCATTCTTTCCTCTCAAGGAAACCCGGCTTACTCTTCCAAGTCTTACTCTACTCATTTTTCCTGTACTTCCCTGTATTCTTCTCTTCTCTATCCTCTCTATCCTCTATCCTCAGCGTCAGCAGTCCGTACCATATCTGGATATTGGTTATCTCATCTCAAATCACACATCTCATCCATTTTCATCGGTTATCAGTGGCTTGATTCGTGCCCCGGAAGTGTGACGCCTTAGCGCCTTGTGGCCCAACTTGTTTAAGCTGCATGACGGCCTGAGGTTATTGGCTTCCTCGATCTACGGAGTACCATTGGTCCAATTGGAATTCTCTGCACAGTCTCGTCACACCTAGACACGGCTCGCTCGTTGTCGCAAACTGGGCCGGGGGCCTTGTTTTCAACAGTCGCGCTCTCCCCCAACTCTGTTTACGCGTCATATGGTCCCTCTGGTGATTGGTGATATTGCAACTTGGTGCCCTATCATTTAGGTTATGGGATCGACGCGTTCTACGGGCGCACACTATTCCTCAGTGCTAGCCCCATCAGCCCAGGAGATCATCAGATCGCAGCCCCGTCTTCAACCCTCACCGCTACCACTCCAACCCATTCAGAACTCATCTTCCTATCCGCCTTCGGGTCCCCACAGGCCCTCGCCGACAAAAGGAGTCCATCCCCAGGGCTCGCACTCGCGCCACGGAAAACTCGGTTTCATTCCCATATCTGCTCCTACTCCCCCCATGTTTACCACCGATTCCCCAGCCAAGAAAGCGCCGTTCCCCATCTACTCTACAACCTCTATGCCACATTCTGCCCTCTTCACCACATTCTCCAGCGTCAATCCTGAATCATCAAAAGAAAACCTGTCAGAAGAGCCATCCAATGACAGTTTCGCGGACTTCCCAGAGCCGTCGTATGAATCTAAACTTCCAATGAAGCGCACACTCATGGAGGCTGCGCCTCTCAAGGAGCGATCCAACAAGAAACACAAGCGTGGCGAAACGCCGGCTGCTTATCTACCCGAACCCCACGACATGCCACCAGTCGAGGATGATGGCACCAAGCCTCCATACAGCTATGCTACCTTGATTGGAATGTCAATTCTGCGCGCCAATAACCGGCGCCTGACGCTAGCGCAAATTTATAAGTGGATCTCCGATACCTTCACATACTACAAGAACAGCGACCCCGGTTGGCAGAATAGCATCCGACACAATCTCAGTCTCAACAAGGCATTCATTAAGCAAGAGCGACCCAAGGATGACCCTGGTAAGGGTAATTACTGGGCCATTGAGCCCGGCATGGAAGCCCAATTTCTTAAAGACAAACAAGTGCGCCGTGCCACAATGTCTAGCCTTCCTCTTCCTGCTGCTCCTCAGAGAGATTCTATACCTCAGTCGCAAACCGCAAGCACCACAACATGGATGGTACCGCCACAGCCCGCTTATCACGCGCCACATCATCACGTGCCTGCACCCAGACCGGCTCCAGATGACTTGTCTTCAGATGCAACATTACCTGCGTCTGACCCTGCTCTTCAGGATGATGCAGACGAAGTTGTTCCTGCTCCTCCGGTCCGCGCACCACCTCGTTCCTCCCCTCCGCAGACCATTCGGTCATCTCCTCCAATCGCTCCTCCCCGATTCGCCCGTCAGGGTACCCCTCCAACCCCCACTCACTCTGGCCCTACCCCCGCGCCTCGCCCGCGCAAGCGCAAGTCAATCACTATAAATGACAGTGGTTATTTCTCGTCGTTGGAGTCATCCGCTCTCAGGCCTAACAAGGCTGGGCATATCTTGACATCTGATTTGGATATCGAGCCTCCACGCATCAAGCGCGGCCGTGCTGAGGAAGAGATCGCGCGCATGCGCAGCTCATCTCACGATATCAGCCCTGGTCAACCAGTGGTCCGCAAAAACCCCAACCCCCCGATCGGTTCTTCGCCTCTTCGCAGTCAGTATGTGAGCATGCAGCCGCCTCCATTGACGCCTATCATCAAGTTCAAGAAGCCTGCCAGGCCGCCACCATCTGTCTCTCCCAATACCAATCTGCGAAACCATCGCCGGAAGATCCAGCAAATGGTCAACTCGCCTATCAAACATTTGGGCCTTTCTGAAGATGCCCTTCCTTGGAGCCCGGCTTTCAATCTTCAGGACGAGACCTATACTCCTCATGATCATTTCCATACCTCTTTCGATGTTTTTGCGGATCCTGGATCAGCACAGGTATCCTATGGGTCTCCCGAGAAGCGCTCACTCAAACGCCCGCGGAACGACAGTGGTACCACTGTTCTTGGGGACATCACTTCGGTAAATATCAATACCCGTTTGGGTATGCCCTCGTTGTCGCGCTCCAAGTCCGCGATTTTCCCCGAGTCGCCATCTAAGCTTCCAGACCCGAGCCGCTTTGGAGACGCTGGCCAGGAAGATTTCTTCTCATTCCATCTCTTTGATGAGAGCAATGACAGCCCCGGTGAAGTCGATGGTGTTGATCTCTTGCAGGGCTTCCAAAAGATTGGAGGCGTGAGCAAGGACGACACTCTGAAGCCCAGGGCGCTTCATCGACCACAATTGGGTCACCGCCCCAATACGACTTTGTTTTAAGGCGCTCTTAAGTTCATAATTTGTACTTTCTTTTTTTGTTTACAGGTCGAGATCTCTGCGAGACGCACCTTGTTCGATTTGCCTTTTATTGTTGATTCTTGCATCATTCTCCTCACTGTCCCTTTATTGCCCTCCTGCTTTTGTCGCCCCGCAACCTTTGTTTCTTGAATTTTGGATTGTACCTGGAGTTGGTTCTCAACGATGTTTCCAAGGTCCTGTGGGCGGGTGTTTTATTTGGGAGTTTTTGGGCTGCGCTGATGGAGCCGGTTCTGACATTTCCTCCACTGAGCCCGGGATGGCCTGGTTATGACATTAATGACGATGCTAAGATGTACATGCAAGCGATGGTTTTTATGATTTGGATATCAGGGTTGGGGCTATCTTTATGGGAAACTACTGGAATACGCATTGAAGGCGTTCTTGATATAATGTATGTAGTTAGCAATTGAAAGTCGTTATTTGTCTGCTTATCAAACTGTTTCATGAGCCATCCAAGCCGAGGGTATATGATTGACCCGATGAATGGATCCAATAGAGTAATTAAAGAAGAATTAAACACAGAAACAGAAATGCATAGTACCGAAACGCCCAATCCAATGGATGCGTGTAGTGGACAACCTCAATCCACCACTACCTCCCGAGGTCCCCAGCCAAATTGAAGTCCTCCAGTCATCGACCAACCCCAGCCTCCTTTTTAATCGCTGCTTCCACAGCCGTTACAGCCACAGCTGACACACTGAATCGTCTGATCCTCCTTGAGCTGAGCCTTGGGCACTCGACAGATACACGTGGAATTGAAATTAGTCTCTTTCGTTTGGACACAGCGCAGACAACACAGCTAGGGGAATCAGTTAGTTTAGTCCACTTCCTGAATAAAAGTCCCTCGAATCGCAAACTACTCACCTTCTCGTAGCCCTGTTTTTTCCACTTGGCAATCAAGTTGGCATCGGCATACTTGTTCTTGAGCAGGAAATCGTATAGTTCCTTTGAGATCGCTTCTTTCTCGTAGTAAAGTTCATAGATGTATCGTGAGCCTAATAAGAGGGGTAGCAGCAAGTCAGCGAAACCGTACTTAATTTCTCGATGTCGCGGAGAGGAGTAACTCGTACGTTGATGACTGATCTGGAATATGGGCCAGAGGACCTCATATTTCTTCTTTCCTTCATGCGATGCGTTTTCCGCATCCTTCATTTTGTTGCTGAATTCCAGCAGTGTGTCTTCGAGATCGTCGAAGCCAGCGGGAGGCGGTTTGCGATTGCGGGCAGTGCGAATCGGAGGCATGGCGGGCGATATATTACAGATGAGACGAGGATGATGAGACAAATGTGATGCGGATATTCCAAGCGATCGTATTTCGATCTAACAGTGTGTCGACAGGGTGCTTTTTTTCCTCTTAAATGAGAACTTTGAAACGAAGGACGTAAGTTGCTATCGATAGGGAAAACTGCGCGTCATTTTTGTGCCACACCCCACCGCCTTTGATTTTGAATTGCGGACATCCGTCCAGCTACCGTCCAGCTGTTATTTCCCATTGCCCGTATCCCATTCCACTTCAATTGCTACTCGCATCTCATATACAATACCGTCATTATGGAACAACAGCTCGATCTCACCAAGCTCACCGACAGCGACAAGAAGGAGCTCAACCAGGTCCTGACCAACGAGGCTCAGAAGTCCAACATTCAGCAGAGTGAGTTGTCCATCTCCATCTTTCTATCCGGACGTATAAGAGATCTATACTTGATGATTTCTATACCCTGGATTTGAGTCGAGTCTAGCGCTTAATATATTCCACCTGGAATCAAACCCATAGCTAATATCAATCCCTTTCTAGCTGTCCACCACCTGAACGAAGTGTGCTGGGAAAAGTGCATCACCAGCAAGATCACCTCCGGCACCCTCGATAAGTCTGAGGAGTCATGCGCACAGAACTGCGTTGACCGGTGGATGGATACCAGTCTGGCTATCCTCTCGAAGCTGGACAACATGCGCGGCGGCCCCGGCCACTAAGCGTTTACCTGTGTGTTCTCGGTTTCTGCCATGATCGCTGTCTGGATGGATGCATGTCTATGGATGCCAATCATTTTTATGAAGATTGGTTAGGTTGGAGCCTGTCATGCTCTGTTTTTTTTTGCTTCGATGGCGGTTGGATGGGTTTTTCTTTAGGGGTTTATGGATGGATAGACGGATTGTGGAACCATCACTTGTATACTAGAGTGTCGATTTATGAACTAAACCATGTTGTCTTGTACAATATATGTCGGATTTGTGGGGATGTTGTTCGTAGAAAAGTGTATCATCGACGCTACCATCTCCCTAGACTATAGGAAGAGTTGTGAGAAAATGCAATATAGACTAGGTTACATATGTTGAAGAATCATAACATGTGGACTGGGTATGACTTGCAAATAATGGAACCGGTTTAACTGCAAAGGTCCAACCTTGTGAAAAGCAAATGTATAAGATTGGCAAAGTTGGCTCTTGGCTCTTGTCTCGACGCACTACAAGACCATTAGGCCATACACGCTACACAAATCTACAACAGTACTACAACGTGGTCTGGAACATGTCTTAGCCATTACAGGACCGACAAGTCCGGCGATTCTTTTGGAATCGTGCATTTCACTTTCACAAGTTATGTTCTTTTTGATCATTCAGCCCGGCTGGTATTTTAGCACCACCGCAGTGTAAAACAAAGTTCGCCAAAACCCTAAGAAATCCTTTTCGAGCATTCCCCGCTTAGACAATGGCCAACTTGGTGGCAGCAATGTCAAGAGCATCGACATCGGGGGTAAGACGGGCGAAGGCCTTCTTGGTTCCGTCAGGGCTAAAGATTATATGTTAGTTTTGATTCGTGTACATCAACAGAAAGGTAGAACATACCGGATAAGAGTGTTGATCTTGACGGTGTCAACATCATACAGCTTCTTAAGAGCCTGCTTAATCTGGCGCTTGTTGGACTTGACGTTGACGATGAAGACGAGGGTGTTGTTCTCCTCGATCTTCTTCATGGCGCTCTCAGTGTTCAAGGGGTACAGAACAATCTTGTTGAAGTCCAGAGCGGGGCCGTGGTTGACGGACACGCGGGGGTACTTGGGGGACCGCGACAGCTGGAGAGTCTTGGGGCGGTGGAAGCTGGCCGAGGTGCGGACCTTGCGGGACTTGTGAAGCTGTTGCCACAACCGCGTTAGCGATAGGCTCCAAAAGGATTTCTTTGGTCTGCTTCATCTTTTGCTACGTACCGAAGCGCCCTTGGCAACCGCCTTGGCGGCGGCGTTGGCCTTGTTCTTGCCTGTAGAGAATATTTCGTTAGCGAAGTGGACTAAAAAAAAAATTCCCAAAAGTTCGTCCGTGGATTGCTATTTGTGAATTTGCCGGTGTGGTTGCAGTAGGTCGAGGATTCTGAAGCGGAGTCGCAGATGCTAAGATCGGTAGGCATATTGTGATGCAGATTTGTTCTGCGATATGCCCTGGCGTCTCTGGCTCTTTGCGAGGTGATCTCCAAATATCGAACTTTTTTGAATCCGAATATCTTCCTCCACGTGCACACGGCGAATTCACAATTGGCAAGGCGGCGATCGCAATAGGAAGAGCGCATAGTTATTGGAACATACCGGTCTTGTTGTCGGAGGGGGCCATGGCTGTCGTCGGTCGCTGTCGATGATGGATTATCGCAGTGTCAAAAGTCGAACGGATTTGGAGTGGTCTTCGCTTAGCGAAAACCCTAGTGCTGTGTGTGGGTCAGGTGACCTGCAGCCCGCTGGGTCTGGTATTTTTGGTATTTTTCAGTCACAGTCGTACAGTACGGTTACTTTTCCGTCCAATCAGAATTGACATCGTATTTGGCTCATTTTCTTGAACAGCTTTTCTTCACATGCCAGTGACCTCCTCTGCTTTTTGTATATTTGTCCCTCAAAGAGATCTGAAGAACCAAAGTATTCTTGATATCTTAATCTATTATCCTAATTTTCTGACTCCTCGCGATCATTAAAGCATGGCTCCCCAAAAACGATCCAAGAGGCCGCTGTTGTTGTCGCATAGTCGGCCTCGCATCGTAAAATCCAAGGACGCTGCTCTTTCAGCCAAGGCTACCCGCACTCTAATCCGATCTCATCATCGGCTTCTCAAAGTCCGGGCTCAAGCTCTAGCCGCCGGGGACGAAGCCCGAGTGAGCAGCATCGACGCTCAAATCCAAGCTAATGGCGGTCTGGAAAGTTATCAGATCGCCAGTAAGCTAGGCCAGTCGATGGACCGCGGTGGAGATTCGAGCAAAGTGCTCATCGACTGGATCAAGCCGCAACTCAAGCAATGGAACAAAGACATTCCAAAGCTCCGGGTCCTTGAAGTCGGAGCTTTGAGCACCAAAAACGCCTGCTCTACGAACCCGGCTTTGGATGTCACGCGGATCGATTTGAATTCCCAAGAGCCGGGGATTCTCAAGCAAGATTTCATGGAACGACCGTTGCCCTCCAGTGATGATGAACGTTTCGACATGATCAGTCTGTCATTGGTGCTCAACTATGTTCCTGATGCTACGGGACGCGGTGAAATGCTCAAGCGTTGTGTCAAGTTCTTGACGTCAAAATGCCCTATTGAACTTGTTCCCAGTCTCTTTCTAGTATTGCCTATCGCATGCGTGGACAACTCGCGCTATCTCAACGAGGGAAGATTAGGGGAAATCATGGCTTGCCTGGGCTTCCGTCTAACGCAAAGCAAGCGGACTTCAAAGCTGGTCTTCCATCTCTGGGAACACACTGGTACCTACTCGCCTAAGGCTTTTAAGAAGGAAGAGTTGAGGTCTGGCAAAACAAGAAACAATTTCGCCGTTATTCTCAACAAAAAGTGATTATCTGCGCGAAAAAAAAATGCTATTATACTCCGTGTAATGCTGCAAGTGGAAACTACTTTGCAGAGAGCATGTCTTGCGGTAAGAAGGCGAAGACAGTACCCACGGCTGCCAATATCGAGGAGACGATGAGCAGAATCCAATCAAGGATGTACTCGCCTCGACCGATCTCTTTTCCAAAGATCTTGAGATGAAATGCAAGAGGGAAGATGATACAGATCGTGAAGCACAAGAATGACCCCAAGAAAGCCATGATACGGTCGAAAGCCGGGAAGATGACCGCCAAAACAACAATCATGGCCACTATAAAAACGCGCACCATTGCCCGTGCGATCCTTTGCCGTGTTCCTGAGCTGTTTTCAGCAAGAACATGGCCCCCTCCGAGTCCACAAAGAACTTCCATTGTAGCCACAAGAGGCCGAGCACTATATACTTGTCAGCAATGTCCGAGAAGTAGTGAAGACGTTAGACTCACTTCAAGGGCACTTTCGTGAGGGGGATGATTGAGATGAAAACTACAATGCAAACGGATAGGGCCTGTGGGTAACTGGTGACCGTGAGAATGTTCGCAGTGATTTCGTCGCGGACGCCATCGCCAAACATTAGCCAGCCAATGATCGCCATTGAGCAGTCCAAAATAAACTGTCAACTCGTTAGAATTGAACTTCATCCTGGGACTTGATGTTCTTACTGTAAACAGATAGGTCACCCGAAGACTCTTCCCGTATTTCTGAGGATGCCTCATATCTCTGTAGATGTTAGGGAAGACGCCGTGGCCACCCCAAGGTGCTTTTTAACAAGTTAGCCTCATGATCACGATTCCTTTCTGTCCTTCACTCACACATAATGAGACCAAAACTCAGAGGGACGGTAGCCCAGTTTTCAGGGAAGAGGAATGTCTTAGCTGGCTGCCGCAAGGAGCCCGGTGCATCTGGCTTAATGAAGCCATCGATGCAAATGAGTATCACGACTTTCGAATGTCAGTTCCATCTATCAGCACGGCTCGGAAGAGGACTTACTTGATGTGCACGAAATTATACCCAATATGCTGGTAATACTCAGGAATCGTAGGGGCAGGAAGTTGAGCGGAAGAAGCACAACTCCACACACGATCTTCCATTGGAGGATGCTCAGTCCTGGCACCAGGGCATATAAACTGTCTGAAAAGAGCACAACCAGCGCCACACATGCTCCTAAAAGTTCCAAGCAGAAGAGGAAACTTGTAACCAAACGGGCATGTTGCCCGAAACTGATATAAGCAAGATCGGCATACGTCACAACGGTCTGGTCGACATCCAGACATTTAGCCAGCACCTTGGCTGTATAGGAAGTGGTAACTGCCGAGAAGACAAGAAATACCAATCCCAACCCCCACCCGGCATGCTTCATCGCCAACGGAAGACTCAACAAACCGATACCAATCAACACATTGACCGAGTTGAAGATGGTCTGCGGAAGGGTAGATTGCCCAACGATGATATTCACCTGGGTGCCATCTTCCTGTTGGACATGCTTGACAAGTAATGGGCCCGCATCCAAATCTTCAGTCCCATCTACATGCACATGGGGATGCTGCTCTCGGTGGAATTGAATCGCATTCCTCCGCGTGGAATCACTCATCCGTGAGGAGATGGTGCCATACGATGTCGCAAAAGCTCTATCAAACGACGAAGCAAGCAGCCCAGCACTAGGTAGTGCCCTCCTGGGAGATCCAGGCGCTCGTGAGTCTCCATCATCCTGGTCCGAGTCCGAGTCCTGAAGCAGAGGCCGGTCCACGTCCGAGTGCCGACCCCAGGATGGGAAGCTTCTTGGTACATATGCTTGGCCAGTGGCAACGGCAAATTCATCGTCCGATTGCGGTTGCGCAGAGACAAACGACAACCGCCGTGGGAGGACCTCTGGGAAGGCCGCGGCTCTCTGCCAAGACCGCGCGAAGTTGTCTATACTGTTGGGGCCCCCCGCTTGGCGGACTCGAATTGAGTAGGACGACGACCTGCGCAAAGTAATGAGCCTAACGGTCTAGCTTTTTCAACAACAGAAATCACATACCTCTGTCTACCGCCGGTCTCCGAATCGGCGGCGGTCGGACTACCATCTAGATGGCCATGATCGTGGGAGCTCGGTGTCGCAATCGGTATCCTCCGTGAGCCATATACCGGTTCACTGTCGTGATCTTGATCTGTTCCAGCCCTCGACATATTTTCCGGTTACCAACACGATAGTAGTAGAGCAGCGACCCAAGAGATATATGAGGATTCCAAGTTGGGAGTTCCCGAGGTGAAGTGCAGGAAGGAAAGTCAAGACCAAGGAAAGGAAAAACTCCCCTCACTTATCACATGGAGATAGCTCCCAGAGAAAGATAAGAGGCGAGAGCGACCTTTCGATATTGAAAAGAGCTTAGCGTCGAAAGAGCTTCCGCTGGTGTGGGGTGCGGATCCCAGAGATTTGATAAGCTCGAGATTTGTATGTGACTAATTGAATGGGCAGTTGGAATCTGTAGACAGGATATATCATTTCTGTGGTTCCTCTGTATGAGGCAGTGATATCAGGCCATATGGATGTCACTTTCCTAGGACCTAACATCGTGTTTTAGAAAAGTCCAGTATATACGAAACATAAGAAAGATAATGTATTGCACATGTTTCGCATACTATGCAAAGCCAGAAGTGGTATCCATACGGAGGACTCCGTAGATACTCGCCTATTACTCTGTAACATGCTATCATGCAATATATACCTATATATAGATAGTACTACACATGTACATAGCCGAAAGTAGCAGAAGGACATGTATAAAAGAACAATGTACCTGTACCTGATCACCCGGTCTTAGGCCACAACCCGGCAAGTACCAAATACGTCACGCCCTGGGGGTAGCCCTGGCTTACCTCAGCGTGCCAGCCGACCCCTCGAACAAACTTGTCCACGGATGTATGTCCAACCCCACGAGGAAATTTGCTGTCGCTTCTGAACGTCATCTTCAGTAAAGGTATGTACTCTCCGTGGTTGAATCTATGAGTATTAAGAAGAAAACACCAATATTCACTTTTCACTCTTTTTTTTTCTTTTTTTTCGCACCTACTAACTGATCTTAGGTGTAAAACAGGCAAGCCTAAATCTTTGTTCGCCGACTCCCGCCCACTTTACTGACCAAATCTTCAGGCGTCTGCAGGGCCTCCGATAACTCTTCCCCTGATCAACTGTCGCCTCGCCAAGATGAGCGCTCCTCCGCCGAACGAAGCTGAGAAGAATATTGAGATCTGGAAGGTCAAGAAGCTGATCAAGCGTCTTGAAGCCGCTCGTGGAAATGGAACCTCCATGATTTCGCTCATTATCCGTGCGCTGCCCCAACCCCGTCACTTATGGTCGCCGCTAATATGCCAATTCAGCCCCCAAGGATCAGGTTAGCAGAGCAGCCAAGATGTTGGCTGAAGAGTATGTACGTGAAACCATATCCCTCTGATCTGTCTGCGCCGACCGTCGCCTAATCGCACAATAGGGTACCGCCTCCAACATTAAATCTCGAGTGAACCGACTCTCCGTGCTGTCGGCCATTACGTCTACTCAGCAGCGTCTGAAGCTCTACAACAAGGTCCCTCCCAATGGACTGGTCGTGTACTGTGGTGAAATTATCACCTCGGAAGGAAAGGAGCGCAAGATTAACATCGACTTCGAACCTTTCAAGCCCATCAACACATCCCTCTACCTGTGTGACAACAAGTTCCACACCGAGGCATTGAGTGAGCTTCTCGAGGCCGATCAGAAGTTCGGTTTCATTGTCATGGACGGTAACGGTACTTTGTTCGGTACTCTCAGTGGCAACACCCGTGAGATCCTTCAGCGTCTCACCGTTGATCTGCCCAAGAAGCACGTGAGTGTCCCGACTGATTGATTACGATATTCATCCATACTGATCCATACAGGGCCGTGGTGGTCAATCTGCGCTGCGTTTCTCGCGTCTCCGTGAGGAAAAGCGCCACAACTACGTGCGCAAGATCGCCGAATTGGCTGTTCAGAACTACATCACCAACGACAAGCCCAATGTCGCCGGTATTGTGTTGGCTGGTTCCGCCGATTTCAAGAACGATCTTAACCAGTCCGACCTGTTCGATGGTCGTCTGCAATCCAAGGTTATCAAGATTGTCGATGTTTCCTACGGTGGCGAGAACGGTTTCAACCAGGCCATCGAATTGGCTGGCGAGACCCTGAGCAACGTCAAGTTCGTTCAGGAGAAGAAGCTTATCAACCAGTACTTCCAGGAGATCAGCCAAGACACCGGCAAGGTCTGCTATGGTATTGAAGATACCCTCAAGGCAATGGAGCTTGGTGCAGCCGAAATCTTGATCGTCCACGAGAACTTGGAAATCACTCGCTGGGTCATGAAGAACTCCGCAGGCGCTCAGGTGATCGTCCACACGACTAAGGCCCAGGAAGCCAACAAGGATATCTTCCAAGACAAGGAAACCGGAATGGATATGGAGGTTGTCGAGTCAGGCTCTTTCCTCGAATGGCTTGCCGAGGCCTACAAGGACTTTGGTGCCAACCTGGAGTTCGTGTCTGATCGATCCGGCGAAGGAAACCAGTTCGTCAAGGGTTTCGGTGGTATCGGTGCCATTCTCCGATACAAGGTCAACTTTGAACAGCTTGCCGATCACAGCGACGATGACGAGTTCTACGATGGTATGTTCTTCCAGTTTTCCGTTTTCTATGTGTATGTTAACAAGAACCTCTACAGATTGACGGTATTGCCCCCTCGCAGAGAGCGAGGATGAACGGCCAGAAGCTCCCGCGGCGAGTCTTTTGACGGCTCGCCCTGTGGATCATACAGGCGGCTCCCGCGATGGAACTAAGGCATCCGTGAAGGATAACCAAAAAAGGCCTGGTCCACGCCCCGTGAAGCTGCTCAGAGGTGAGACATCCAGCTAGGCTATCACCCAGGTTTAGCTCTAATGTTCGTGTACAGTGTCGTCCAAGCTCCAAGATACGCACACTGAGCTCGCCTCAGTGTCTGAGATGAAGAAGAGGTTTAAATTGCAATTTGAAAGGTTGGGTGCAGTAATCTGCAACGTTTGGTCGTCCACCGCTGCTTGCACTGCTTACTCTATGTAAGCCGGACGGCGTTGGATTGTTTTATGTCCCCGCCAGTTCTGTCGTTTCATCTCTGAATGGCATTTTCTGGTACTTCGCTCGTTATTTGCTCGTTAAAAAAAAAAAAGCACCCGATAGGTGATAGAAGGTGCTATTTATTCTTATTAAGTTTTCTGTTTTATCTTGCGGTATATGTACACTTTGTCCATATCATCGACAGTGCGTACATTTTTGTTTCATTTATTCGTATAGTAAATCGGATATCTGCAACATATGACATAACGTTCTCAGTGCGCTTGCAAAATCGTCAATGCCTTGCTCTCAAGCAAAAGACCGATCAGTCAGTCAAGCATTGCTTGACCTTAGCTGATCTTTCCAGGTCCCCAAATCCTTACATGTCTCAGTGACTTGACGCAAATCATCGAGGGCTTTGTGGACTGCCTCTTTGTTCAAATCCGAGGGTGTCCATCCACACTCAACGAAAAAGATATACTGCCACGACTTCTTTAGACTCGGCCTCGTGTTAATGCTCGTAAGATTCAAGCCATGAGCCTTAAAGATCAACAGCGCATTTGCCAATGCACCGGGAGATGAATGATCAATCGTGAAAGTAATCAAAGTCTTGTGCGTGGCTTCAAGGGCAGGCTCGCCTTCCACCGTAGGCGGGTTCGGCAGCCCGAGCTCGGCCTGGGCAGTCCGCTCATCGCGCACATTTCTGAAGATCAGAAAACGGGTCGTATTGTCCGCTCTGTCCTCGATGTTTTCCACGAGAATGTCCGTCCCGTGTTGTTCTGCCGCAAAGCGATTGGCAATGGCAGCGCCTCGCTCCGTTGTCTCCTTGGAGACGATCTCCGCTGCCTTGGATGTGGATGTGACGTCCTGTCTCTCGACACCCTTGAAATATTTGGTCAGGAAACTTTCGCACTGGCCCCATGCCTGCGAGTGTGTGTATAGCTTGGTTATCGAGCCGTCGTAGTCTGCCCAACCACCGGGGTATGTGCCCTTGCGCACCATTAGGCAGTGGTGCACTGTCAAGTAATATTCTCCGCAGACTTTCACGTCTTTATATAAACCATTCCGGTCTGCCAGGAGGTCCAATGTCTGCATTACAGAGCCATTGGTTGAGTTCTCGCACGGAATCACGGCATAGTCAACTTCTTTCTTTTGGAGAGCGGCGAAGGCATCTGGGAATGAGACTTCAGGTTGTAGATCGGCGGGTAGGTTGCAAAAAGACTCTGCGGCAGCCTATAGCAAGGATCAATCATCAAGCTAAGTTGCATTTGCAGGGATATGGGATAAATTTGTACCTGGTGCGAAAAAGACCCCAGCGGACCTAGGAAGGCGACTTTCAGGCGAGCCATTGTGATTGTGGTATGGATAGGTTTCTCCGTGCTTATTGAGCTGGACCTATTGAAATCAAATCAAATCAATATTCGGCTTGTCATCTCATCGACAGGCGACATCGGATCTGCGAGCGGTGTGGCTGAATCCCGCAATGAGCGACAGACAAACAAATCAAACGCGGGATGAATCTATTGCTTCAAGTGAACTTGCGATTATCAAATCGCCCAATTCAGCACTGGAGTCGGTGTCTTTGCTCATGAAGACAAATCCACTCCGGCCCTTGGTCTCTTTTCGAGGCGGGCGTCATGCATATCGAGCTTACTCCTCGCTCTCCGAGCGGTTGCATCATGAACTGACCACAAGGAAACTTCCGTTGACTTACGATTATCTGCACCCCCAACCCTCGCATCTCCTGAACCTTACACTCCGAGATCTTCTTCCACAATCCCAGGGCTCCTCGGATTATGCGACTTTACCGTCATTACAGAATCCGTCCCCACTCCCGGCCGGTCATCACTTAATCTACTTCCCGCCGCAGGTGACCTTGTCCCAACTACTCCCGGACTGCACAGATACGCTACACACGCCGGGCGAACCATTTAATCGGCGCCTTTGGGCAGGTGGAAATCTAAGATTCCCTGTGCGCAGTCCGCCTCTGGATGGCAGCCGCGCAGTCTGCATAGAATCCATTCGCAATGTGACAGTGAAAGGCCGCGAGGGGGACGAGAAAGTGATTGTCACCATCGAGCGTCGCGTCGGCAATGTTCCCGAACAAGAAACCGCCGACCAGACCTGGGACCGGGTATGGAAAGAGAACGAAGACGATGCGGGGGAATCGTCAGTCATTGAGAACCGGGACCTCATTTTCATGCGCCTAAAGACCAGCGCTCAAATCGAAGCCGATAAAGCGCAATTCGGAAAGCCTGTCAGGACTGTGAAACGTGAGGATATACTTTCCAACCCTTGACTATGATGTCAAATGTACTAATGATTCTGGCGCAATGAAGCTCCTTCCGATGCGACATTCCGCCATGCCCTCATACCTACTAAGGCACTGCTATTCCGATTCTCCGCGCTGACTTTCAATGCTCATTCTATCCACCTTGACAAGGGCTATACTCAGAACCAGGAGGGATACCCAAATCTTTTGGTGCACGGTCCGTTGACACTCACGCTTATGCTGAGTGTGCTTCAGCAACAGCTGAGTAGATTGAATCTCTGCATCAGTACCTTTGAATATAAGAATATAGCGCCTCTTTTTGTTGAACAGGAGCTGGTGATCTGTGGCAAGCCTAAAAATGACACTGGGGCTTGGGATGTATGGATTGAAGGTCCAGATGGAGGATTGGCTGTTCGGGGTACTGCACGGACGAGGTCGGAATGATACCCAATTATATTCCACAATTATACATTATTCAATGCGACAGCACATCCGAACGATATCTTTCCGGGAAATATCTTGAAATAATAGTAACAGCTAGGAGTGCGAAGCTGTCGAAGCAGATAGAACAATCAATCCGTCGATGGATACAAGGTAGTTACGTAAACAACGGATATCGGAGAAACTCCCCCGAAGTTAGATTTGCACACCTTTTTCCTTCCACCTGTCCTTCTCTTTCTTTCTTCAACCACACAGTAATTTGGCTATTTTGTGATCGGCTGTAATGATCTAAGTCGTGATCAATTAACCATCAAGCATCTTCTTCTTTCTCAAGATGGATGCCTTCTGGGCAGCTCCCCCGGTCATTAGGTATGCAGATTCTATTCGCTGATCCCAAGCTCTCATCACTGACTTGCCATTCAGGACCCTTACTGCCTTGACTGTGGTTCAATCCGCTTTGATGTATAGCGGCTTAGTGAGCTTCTATTGGGCGCTATTCGTGCCGAGCCTGATATTCTCATGGCGTCCGCAGATCTTTCGGCTGGTCACCCCATTTCTACTAACCGGACCCAGATTAAGTTTCATATTTGATCTAATTCTCAGTATGATGCCTCGGTATCACATTGACTTGACCTGATCAAATTGCTAATGTACGGACAGTGTACCGCTATGGCAGCGCTGCGGAGAGGAGCATGGCCCCCGGAGAGTTCTTCATTTATCTCCTATTTGTAGCTTTCAGCATCATGGTGAGTGATTCGGTAGAATCTGCTTTTTTTCATCTGCGTTCGCGTTCATATCCAATCCCTCGCTATAACTGCCCGCCCAGCTTCAAAATCTAGCTGAATTCGGTTCCTGAAGGCGAGGGAAAGCACCCCTGCATCTGTGCAACACCATCATAATTCGCAAAATTCAGGTGTTGTGCAGGTGTGGGCATGGTGGGATTGCCTTCGAGCTCACTGGCGTGATTTCATATCGCGTCGGTATCGGAGGTGCCCTACATTTCTATATACATCATCTATCATTTCCAATACCATCTACATCCTATTTACTCGTCATCCTGGTAGTCCAACAATGTCTTCCAAATTTGCTAACTTTCCAAAGCTCACTGCAGGTGGTTATCTGGGACAGCCTATCCTCCTGTCACGTAAGCCTGCCGTACCTTGTTTAATTCTCAGGCTGACACTGACTTGAACTCAGCCTTGATCATGGCTTTTGTCTACACCTTCTCCCAGACGAACCGAGGAACAAAGACGAGGTTCTGGGTCATCGACATCCCGGTGGTACTCCTGCCGTATGCAATGATTGTCGTCGGCATGGTGATGAACGGATGGGAGCACGTGCTGTCAGATCTCACAGGAATTGTCGCTGCCCATACTTATGATTTCCTCACACGCATCTACCCGACTTTCGGGGGTGGAAGAAACTTCATCCCTGTGCCCCGCTTCGTGGAGAGATACTTCACCGACCACGACCCCAACAGCGGATACCGACCGTATGGAACGGCGAGCCGCGCACCAAGGCCGGCTGAGCCCTCGTCGGCATCAGGATCATCCTGGAGCAGCTGGACCTCTTCGAGTTCTTGGAACGGCAGAGGCGCTGGCCGAAGACTAGGTTAGATCGAGAGCCGTACATGCTCTGCGCCGTTGTCGACCTGCATGGGAGATACTTTGCCCTGGCAGACGTTTCAATTTTTATTGTGCCCATATGGACTTGAGATAGATAGTGATAATCAATAAGCACACGGTTTTGGGCATTGTTTGCCCACAAAAACAGATTTATTGAACTCCAGTAGTTAATCGTCTTTGAGTATATCTATATTGACCAATTGGCTTGTTTTCTCAATTAATCTATGCGATCAGCAAAACCTCTCCTAAATTGGAAGTCCTTGGAATCGGAGGCGTAAAAAGTCGAGAACTCCAGGTCACGTGGTGCCTTCTCCAGGCGCTAAACTGCTTTGGGTACTGGAGCTGCCGCACTCGCAAAATTTCCTTCGACAAATTTTCGGGGTTTTCACCGCGCATCCTTCAACGACAACCAACAAAATGGCAGTCGTCAAGACCTCGGAGATGGACTACGCCATCAAGCCTGAAGCGTCCGTTCCTTCCGTTGATACATCGGATTGGCCGCTTCTGCTTAAGAACTATGAGAAGCGTACGCTTGTCCTTAAAACTCCACGCTTGACCAGCCGACATTGACTTCTTTTGTAGTGCTCGTTCGGACCGGTCACTTCACTCCTATCCCTGCTGGCTCCTCTCCCCTGAGCCGTGACTTGAAGTCATACATCAGCTCCGGTGTCATCAACCTTGACAAGCCGTCGAACCCTTCCAGTCATGAAGTCGTGGCTTGGATGAAGCGGATCCTCAGGTAAATAAAAGTCCATCAGAACCCCTCAATGGTTTCGCACTTTTGCTGACCACATTCCCCTCTGTAGAGCCGAGAAGACTGGTCACAGTGGTACCCTTGATCCCAAGGTCACCGGTTGTTTGATCGTCTGCATTGACCGTGCCACTCGCCTGGTCAAGTCCCAGCAGGGTGCCGGTAAGGAGTATGTCTGTGTGATTCGTCTCCACGACAAGATTCCCGGTGGCGAAGCCCAATTCGTCCGCGCTCTGGAGACCTTGACTGGTGCGCTCTTCCAGCGTCCCCCTCTGATCTCCGCTGTCAAGCGCCAGCTCCGTATCCGTACTATCCACGAGAGCAAGAACTACGAGTTCGACAATGAGCGCCACCTCGGTGTCTTCTGGGTCAGCTGTGAGGCTGGTACCTACATCCGTACCCTCTGTGTCCACCTGGGTCTTCTCCTCGGTGTCGGTGCCCACATGCAGGAACTTCGCCGTGTTCGCTCTGGAGCTATGGGTGAGGGCCCTGGTATGGTCACTCTGCACGATGTTATGGACGCCCAGTGGGTCTACGACAACAACCGCGACGAGTCTTACCTCCGCAAGGTCATCAGCCCCCTAGAGACTTTGCTTACCGGCTACAAGCGTATTGTCGTTAAGGACAGCGCTGTCAACGCCGTCTGCTACGGTGCTAAGCTCATGATTCCTGGTCTTCTCCGCTACGGTATGTAAATTTCTTGCCCCTGAGTTTTTCTTGACCATTACTAATTCTTTCTTCAGAGGCCGGTATTGAGTGCCACGAGGAGGTTGTCCTCATGACCACCAAGGGTGAGGCTATCGCCATTGGTATCGCTCAGATGTCCACTGTCGAGCTCACCACCTGCGACCACGGCGTTGTTGCCAAGGTCAAACGTTGCATCATGGAGCGTGACCTTTACCCCCGCCGCTGGGGCTTGGGACCCACTGCCCTTGAGAAGAAGAAGATGAAGACCGCTGGAACTCTCGATGTAAGTGGCTAAGCAGCCTTCTCTTTCGTCCAATGTACTAACTTGCTCTCAGAAATTCGGCCGCACCAACGAGGCCACACCCGCCCAATGGAAGAGCGAGTACAAGGACTTCAACCTTCCCATCACTGGAACCTCCGCTGTTGCACCCGCCGCTGAGACTAAGACCGAGGCCGAACCCACTAAGGCGGAGTCCCCCGAGCCCGTGAAGGAGGAAGTCGAAGACAAGAAGCGCAAGCGCGACGGCGAGACAGCCGAGGAGAAGGCCGAGCGCAAGAAGAAGAAGAAGGAGAAGAAGGAAAAGAAGGAGCGTCGGAAGTCCAAGCAGGATGATAGCGATGACAGCGATTAGATGCACTCCAGGAAGGCCGTCAGGTCCTTTTCCTGTACCATATTTTGCTATTTCCGGAGTCTTGGGTCAAAAGGGAAATTTGTTCTATTCCAGAGTTTCATATTGAAGGCTGCCTATGTGTTGAATCTACCATTCTTAAAAATCCGAGTAACGTTAGCAAATGAATCACGTACATGTAGCGCTTGCTTGTTATGTTATCCGAAGCTATTGGCTGTAATATATATTTAGTTGTATGTATGGAGTACCGGAGTGCAACCATTTTATACTTTCGTTATTCCAAAGCCTCCTTGGTACTCCTTAGTCTCTTATATTCATCCCATTTCAATCAACTTTAATAGAATCAAAGACCGCAGAAGTGTAGTATAACCGCAAATGGAGGCGGTCAATGCTTTGTCCTCGATGTGGATCTCGTGACTGGACATCATCTCCGCATTTCTTTCCCCTCCACTTTCCACTTCATGTCTAAACTCAATCCTCAACTTTATCTCTCGAACTTGGATCTGAGATCAAAACAAACCCAAGCATCACTATGGCAGCAGAGCTGACATCCACCAAGCTCAACCCAGAGAGTCACATCATCCTGGTAAGTATTACTCCGCACCTCCATGATAAAGCGGGACCTAACCGGCTGCTTCCACAGGACCAACCACTCCTTCGACTACCTCTTGAACTGGCCCGCAGGAATTTTAAAACCGTACAACGAGCCGTCGAGCGAGAGAAAGAATATGTCATCCCCGCAATCAAAGAGGCCGCCGCCGCCTCACTCTCCAATACTCAAACGCCCGAACAGACCCTAGCTGCACTCGACGCAATGATATCCAGAATGCAAAGTCTCAAACGGAAGATGGAAGGCTTGCAGGAGGAAGAGAAGAAAATACACAACCAATCTCGCAAGCGTATTCAGCACCTGGAGACCCTACATAAAATTCCGAGCCTAGCCGATGTCAAATACGACCAGTGGTCAAGGGTACGGCTGGACCGTTTACTCGTTGACCACATGCTACGCTCAGGTTACTCAGAAAGTGCGAAGCAGATGGCCCAGGATAGGGGGGTAGAGGATCTCGTGGACCTAGGTGTATTCACACAAGCTAAACGGATTGTGGATAGTTTGCGACGTGGAGAAACCAAGGAAGCATTGCAATGGTGTGGAGAGAACAAGGCTGCGCTGAAGAAAAGCCCGGTAAGTTGGAATTGCCTTTTCCTGTCTTGAAGCCGTCTGCTAACATAATTCTTATGAAGCAAAATCTTGAATTTGAACTCCGGCTGCAGCAATACATCGAGATGGTCAGGACACAAGACAAGTCTAAGAGGATTGAGGCAATAATCCATGCAAAGAAATACCTCATACCGAACTATCAGGCTCAGAATTCCGATATTATGCGCGCTGCAGGATTACTGGTTTTCACGCAGGACACAAGAGCCGAGCCTTACAAAGTAAGCCAAACATTCATATTTAATTAGTAGTGTTCTTATTAATGGATTACAGTCTCTCTTTGCGCGGGAACGCTGGAAGTTCCTCGCGGACCTTTTCATCGAGACCCACCATGAGCTGCTTTCATTGCCGGCACAACCTCTATTGCATATTGCCCTTTCCGCAGGACTTTCAGCTCTGAAGACTCCTCTGTGCCACTCGGCATATACATCGTCCAGCTCAAACTCACAGTCAACATCGACATCTGTATGTCCTATCTGCTCAACTGAACTGAACGAGCTTGCACGCAACATGCCATACGCCCACCACTCAAAGAGTTATGTGGAAAGCGACCCGATAGTTCTGCCCAACGGCCGAGTCTATGGGAAGCAAAGGCTGATAGAGATGAGCCGTAACATGGGAACAGTGAAACCAGGCGACGTCAAAGACCCAACAACAGGACAGGTCTTCCACGAGGGTGAGATGAAGAAAGTGTACATTATGTGATTACAATATGTGAACTCGGACAGACGTCTACCAAGGATGAAACGAGATACTACAACTTACTTACATATATTTTCTTATAGTTTTTTTTATTGATTTGAAACATGATATTACCCCTAGTTACTCGCTATCACTAGAATCATCATCGCGGCTTCTCTTCTTCCCTCCCTTCTTGACCGGCTCCTTCTGCTTCACTTCAAAGACATACATCCGAGCCTCCCGATCCTCTCCCTTCCATCCGCCGCGCTCCCCATCCTTTCCTTCAATATGCCCTACCGTTCTCGCATGAGAATAGCCCTCATAAGAAGTCCAAGGAAACCGGAAACTAGTCACAACAACCAGCCCCGCATGCCTCGCCAAATCCCTAATATTCCAAAGCGTATATGGCTCACCCTCGAACAGAGTAACAAGGATCTGACCAGGCCCAGTCCGGAATCCCTTCCCGGTAGTATCATCGTCTTTTCCTAGCTCCTGGCCCTCTCCTCCTTCCTCATCCTCATCCTCATCTTCTTCTTCACTCTCCTCTCCATCTGCATACACCCACTCATCATCATCAGCATCCATAAGCGGCGGCGGCTTCGAAACAAGCGGTATACACGCCTTGAAGAATGCAACCAGCAGCTCCTGATTCGAACGAACCTGTCGGTTCACATCCGTAGAAAGCCCACCCACATGCGGGAAATTGAAGCAGATCACATCCCACGCCCCACCGGGCTGGTACGGTGGTCCTGCTGGCTCGTCTTTCTGGTACCAGGCTGGTCTCTTGCGCTCGCGGCGTGCGAATCCTGTGCGGATTTCCTTGCCGCCGCCTGCCGGAGCGCCGAGTTTGCGCGCGTCCACCGAGAAGACGACTTTGGGGGTTTGCTGGTTGGGATTGGCACTGGGGTTGGGGTTGGTTGAGTCCTGGTCTTCGGATTTGCTTTCTTCTGGCTGGTTTTCGGTCTCGTTGCTTGCTAGTTTTGACTTTGCTGATGCGCTCAGGATATCTGAGACGTTCTGAGGAGCTTGCGGGTACTTGTTGTATAGCACTTCTTTGGAATCGTAGCATGTGGCGCATAGGTTGCGGCACTTGTATTGTTTTGCAAGAGAACGGGCGAATGAGAAGTCACCTGGTTGCTGTTAGAATTTATGTTTCCAGGTGTAATAGATAAATCGGTGTTGAAGCGTGTTACATGATCTTGTTCTTATACAGGAATGCATATTGGTTCCAATCTCGTATATCACAGTAAAAGTGCTCTGGGTATAGACTCCATGGGAAAATATACATATATAGCTTAATTGCAACCAAATTCTTGCATAGAATGAAGAACGCAGCGCAATCATGTCAACTAAATCAGAAGAAAAGCTCACCTTCACCAATAAGGAGGATTCGATCCTTCCTTAAAAACGGCACGATAGGTCTCTGGTTCGCCTGCATGGAGGCTTTCTTAGGTGGGTTGGCATTACCACTTCCCTGCTTTTGCCCATTGCCATGCTGCTGTCCCTTGGCAGGGTTGGAAGACGGGCCAGATGGTTTGCCTGGTCCGCGAGCGCGCGGCGGAGGGGCATTTTTGACTTTCTTGTTATTGCGAGGCATGACTGAAGGCGAAGAAAAAGGAGTTCACTTTCAAAAAGGAAGTTATATGAACTTGTATGAAACAAATACGGAGCTGTCACCTGTGTCTGCGACTGGAAGATGATGCAGAAGAAAAGCGCCCCGGATAATCAAATATCCGAAGTATATAACGACTTCAATCTTCTACCGCCCTTTGGTTTGATTTTGTTATTTTAGTCCAACCCAAACTTGAAAATTTGGTTTGCATTAATTCTCTCTAGACATACCACTGGAAATAACTCAAGGTAGAAGTACATATCACGTGATATATATAGTTGGTACCTAAGACATGCAGTATATAGAGGGCTGTCACGTGAGTCAATGTAGCAGGGCAGAACGCGACTCCCTAGTAACGTCACTACCAAATTTTTCGACCTCAGATCGGACCGAGGATCTAATTTTTGTACCTTTTGGGTAATATGAATGTATGGCATTCTAATTGTTAGATATATTCGAATGATACAAAAGGAAGATATGGTCAAGTGAAGCTAAACGACTCGTGATATCAACCTCATGAACAGACCTATCCAGCAACTTCCAAGTCCAAGATCATGGAACATAGAAGAAAATAACCGGAGGAATAAGTCATATTATTTATAGAAAAACGTTCTATTAGAAAAAACAAACAGAGCACGGCATAGCTATATACATTGAACAAGACAGGCAAGGATGGATGCTATGACCGCATGTCAAAACAAGGTTAGAATTAAATCATACTGTAGACCAAGAGCAGGGGGTCAGGGGAAACCGCAAAAAGGAGTCTGTTTTCCTTCGGGGAGGAGAGAATAACAGAAAAGAAGAGAGAAAAAGGAATCAAACACCAACACCGACCAAAGTGATCGCAGGATTTCCCAATCAGACCAGAAAACACCCTTGAATTTGGCTGCAATGAAACGTGAATCATAATGTCACATGCAAAGGAGCACCGTGGACGCGGTTGACTTTTTGTATACACACTGACCAGTCAGATGCATATTGCCATTCCAAGCCTTAGGAGCGCAGGGAGTCTCTCATGCTCTGGCTGCTGGCACTGACTGGAGTGGGGAGAACACCGGTACGGGGCTTAGAGTTTTGCTTGATCTTGGCCACGGCGTAGACAATACCGCTGACGAAGCCAACAGCGATGGCGGAAACACTGGGGAAGGTGACTGGCGCATCGAAGAAGACGAGACCGGACACGGCGATAGGCAGCTTGTTGAGAGCGCCAACCATAGAGTATGTGGTGGAGGAGGTAGTGCGGACACACCATGCGGATGTGTAAGAGATGAAGACAGAGGAAGCACCGGACAGAACCATGGCGAAGAAGATACCCTCACGGTTGGCCTCGGGGAAGTTGCGGGCGAGGTTGGCGGATGACCAGTCCTCGACAAGCAGGGTAAGGACGATCAAGACGGGGATAGAAAGGAGGTTGTTGTAGAACATGGCTGGAGAGAAGATCATGTTAGCAAACAATTGAAACAAGCGTAGAAGAATCACATACTGTCGAAATCCTTGAAGTTGGTCAACTTGATGCGCTTGCGCATGCCCAGGACATAGGAAGAGGTGCACAGGCAGTTGATCAACATCCAGACGTATCCGGCGTTCAGGGTGGAGACCTTGCTAGAGGTGTCACCGGTGCTCTCCACGGCATGCTTGATATCAGCCCAGGCGGCAATGAGCGAACTGACAACCATCAGACCGAAGGAGAACAGAGTAAGGTTAGTGACCGAGCCACCAAACCAGAGAACCTCTCCATAGGCAATCAGGATAATGGTCAAGTTCTTGAAGATGGTGTAGACTGGGATTGAGAGGAACTGAAGGGCCTTGGAACCAGTGTAGATCATGCCGATCAGCAGGAGCGTAATCGGGAACCCTAATATGGAATCGTGTCAGCTGGGATATCTCTTAGCTTGCGATAATCGGAGTCCATACACTTTTTGGCCTCATCGGAGTTGAAATCACGGTAGGTGATAAGACCCATAGACTTGCATGTTTGAATTGCCGCAATGCAGACCAAAGACTGTTGATATTAGCAATTCGCCTCGGATCAAGACTGCTAGATCCAATCCACCACATACCTGGATACAGAGCAAGAGGAAGTTCAGATTGAAGTCCAAGCCCGACAGAACATACTTGTTCATCACGGTCATCATAATTGACGAACCACAGTATGCCAAAACGGGAAAAGCGGGGTTGTTGGTTATGGCGGGATTGGCGCGCGGCGAGGGAGTCGGCGGCGGCGCAGCCTCGAACTCCTTCCCTTGATCGATCTTGTTCATGTCGACGGTGTAGTCGTCGGATTTCTTGCCTTCAGCCATGTTGAGTGAATGGTCGCAAATAGGGGGGCGGGGAATTGTGTTATCGGCTGTTTCTTGAAAGAGGAAGGAACTGAAATGACAGATAGCACCCAGAATATATCTAGGGGAGTCGAGGAACAAAAGGAGTTGTTCGAGGAGGTGACCAAAGAAAAAAAGGCCAAAGGAGGTTCAGAATTCGCGGCCGGAAACAGACACGTCCTTACCTAAGCAAGGCGTTAGGGGCTGCTGACTCAGGATTTTATTTATAGACCGATAACTAGATGTACTATTGCATTAGAACCATACGGAGTACGAGTACATTGGTAGTCTATTGATACTGATAGTTAGGGATTGAAAACGCTCAATTATGTCAATTACATGATATACGATCTAACTACGTAGTTGGCAGTTGTACCTTTGGACTTACATATTATGGCTACGTGCATAAAGTATAACGTCTTAAAGAATATACAAAAATTGGTCCACTAACTAAAGGACAAGAATTAATGAAATACGTACCTCATCCCAATCGCAGACTATAAAAGCCCCGAGAACAAATTTATAAAACTGTTCACGCGTCCGTACCGAGCCCATATACCAGTGGAGCTGCTCCCGACCTTCCAACCTCAACTCTCCTAACCACACACTCCCCTAAAAATCCCAATCCATACCTTCACATTGGGACATTGGGCTCAAAAGCCAAACCAAACAGAAGAGTCGCCCCAAACCCACCAAAACAACAAAAAAACAACCAAATCCCCAACCACCCCCCGCACTTTCCCCCAAAATGCCCGACTCAGACGACGAAGCCCTCTTCGCCGCCCTCGAAAACGAAGATGACACCCTCTACCGCGACCAACGCATCCACCAACTAAACGCCGAGCTCGCAGCCACAAAAAACAACCACTCCGCACGGGCAACAAGCGGCAACACAGGCCTCATCCAAAACGAAGTCTACCCAACACTCTCGTCGGACCAGTCCGTGCTAGACTTCACGACGCGTACGAGCAGGTGTCTGGTGCACTTTGCGCACCCTGATTTTGCGCGGTGCGCAGTTATGGATATGAGGCTTGGCGAGCTGGCGAATGTGCACTACGAGGTTTCGTTTGCGCGGGTGGATGTGCGTAACACGCCGTTTATTGCGCAGAAACTGGGGATCAAGGTGTTGCCTTGTGTTATTGGGTTCAAGGATGGAGTTGGGGTCGATCGGATTGTTGGGTTTGAGGGACTTGATGCTAGGGGCTTTGATGGGGTTGAAGGGTTTGATGTGAAAGTCTTGGAGAAGAGGTTGGTCTTTAAGGGCATTCTGTTGGCGGCGAAGATTGGGGGTGGGGAGGAGGACGAGGATGTGAGGGAGGAGGAGGATAGTGATGACGGTGCTGGTGGGAGAGGATTTGGGAGGAAGAAGGGGAGACGTGGGATTCGGGACTCTAACCCCAATGTGAGAAACCGAGGTGACGACGACGATGACGACTGGGATTAGTAGTCGATTAAGGATCTTGTTTCTTGAAGGTTATACCCGGATATTGGAATGTTCATTCATGATTTCTGTATATTAATGGATTGATGACCCAGATTTATGTTCATAGTTGGATGTTTAGTAGCATACCCATGCCATATATCCATATACCGAGACTTATACAAGCTGTAAAGTAACCACCTGGCACCTTGAAAACCTCAACTGGCACTATGTGTACAGCATATGCCACGGGAGTAAGTCTTGGGCAACTTGAGATTAAGATTGAATAATCAAAGTAAATGGGATTGGAGCGAGACACGAAAGGCCAAGGCAGACTGTCATCATAGAATTACAGGCAAAAAAATATCAAAGACCGTAAACACAGAGCCATCTCGACGGCAAAGGAAACCAAAACGAAAAGAAAAAAGCAGAAATGGAGCAAAACAGCACCCTAGAGTTACAACAAATGCCGTGGAACCGAGGCCAGAAGAAGAACAGGGGGGAATTCTATACATAGAAGCAGAAGTAGAAACAGACGCAAAGCAGAACGTTGTCGCGCATCCATAAGTTGCACATTGAATGCCGGGTGCCCTTGAAAAACCGAGACTCGAGAGAAGCCGGAACTGGCCGGACTCAAAAAGCAAGGCTTATTCTAAATAGCCACGTTCTTCATTTCGCCAAGGATCTCCGACTCAATGGCGGTTGAGGACTCCGCGGAGTCGGTTTTCTCGGATTCCTTAAGTTCTTTGGGCTTGGAGAACCCTTCGTTCTCCTTATTGGAGATTTGCGGGGTTACAATCTCCATGAGATCTTCAGTCTGAGGTTCTTTGTTTTCCTTGGTGTCTTCGGAGATTGTGGGTCCTGCAGTGACAACGGGACTTGTGGTCTCCTCAGTCACGCGTGCAAGAGGGCTCGACACGCCGAATGGCGTCTTGGGGCTCTGGGAATTTCCACCCTTGGAGAAACGGTGCGGCGAGCGGCCGCGTTCTTCGGCGCGCGTGGGGCTGCCGTAGGGGGACTCGCGACTGCTGGACCGATTGCCTGAAGCGCTCACACCCAGACCATTGGGTACGGGGCCCTTCCGGCGAGGTACACGGCGGCCATACTTCTGATCAGTCCTCCAGCGCAAGATATCCAGGTATGGGGGCTCCACATTTTGGGTCTTGAATTGCTTCAACTTCAGCTCATTCGTCTCCTCGTCAACAATGACGTCGCCGCTGCACAGATCGTCGGCGAGAGTCGCGAGGAAGCTAGACCACGACCGGGCAACCACGTATTTGCAGTCGTAATCCCGGCCGAAAATAATCACCTGGCCCCATTTTCCAGCGGGGCCGGGTGCCAGATCAATGGCCAGGTTGTTGCCGCCCCAATCACGGGCGAGGGGAATCCAAGCGGGATGTGAGTAGGCCTTCTGAACTGCACCAGGAGGCTGGGAGTCCTGACGGTCGAGCAGTTCTGATTGCCACATTGTGGATGAGGGTTGCTGAGACGGACCGGCCGCGGAGGAGCTTGCTGCAGAGCTGGGTGCGGGTGGTATAGTTGCGTTGCTGAGATATTCGTCGTTGACCTTTCTCCAGTTCCGCCATTCCTGAACGATCTCCTCGCAGTCGAGTAGCATAGCGCTGAAGATGACACCGGTGGGTAGGCCGCCACGTTCTTGACCGTCATGGACCATTAACGATTCCCGCACCTCCAATGGCAGACTGCAGTCGAGTTCGTGCTCCAATTCGTTAATATCGTTTTGGGTACATCCTTCACCGAGCTGATCAAGGAGTTCCTCATAATTGTGTTCTAACCAGCGCTCGATCTTCCTCCAGGAGTGAGCGACCGGTGGCGGCGGTGGTGCTCCGTCGTGGAAACTTTGCATCTGAATCTCCGGTGCACCCTCACCTTGGTCGTTCGATCGTCTCTTCTGAGATGCGACGGATCTCATCCCTGGTGAGTAGGGATGGGTGGGGGAGCCCAAGTCGTCGGAGCCATTCCATTCGGATGCTTGTGCCCTTGCAGATCCTTTTGTGGGCTCGTCATCATAGGGGTTGGAGAGATCTGGGCGAGACTCGATTGCGCTAGTTGCGACAGATGTGAGCGGCTCATGGCGACTTTGGCTGAGAGGGACGTGTCCCCCGGTACGGTAGGGGGAGTCGTGGGAGGCATGCCGGTCATAGGAGGTCATGGTATGCCAAAAGGACCGCCATGTCGAGTTCAACCTGCATCACGTCAGTAAACATAAACCTTCGAAGGGTGTCTAGAGTCTAGACATCCAAAGGTAGACTAACATATTCGCCATGGTGTCACAGTAGGGAAAAAAAACAGGGCGCAGGGGGGTTAAAACCGGTATTTAGGTCGCGAAAGCGGTCATTGGAGACGGGAAGAACGTGTCCCGACGCGGGAATGATCAATAGAGAATTCAAACTTCAAAGAGAGAACGCTGAGAGAAGGGAGAAAGGAGTTGTTGAAAAAGTGAAGATGTGAAGATGTGGTAGGGGCAAGGGAAGTCCAGAATCCTGAATTAGGTAAGGAAGGAGAAAAGGTGGAGGGGGGAAGATATGGAGATTATTTATGTGTCTGTTTTTATTTTTCTTGGAAACACAAGGGTTTTGAAAAAAGCCTTGGAATAATATATAGGATCTCCTTTCAATCTCAATATACTTACTGAGTCCTTTGCTTCAGTTGTTATGATATGACTCTATTCCACCAAACCCCTGGCCGCATCCAGCGAAGCCTCGACGCTGTGGTATGTAGATCCTTTTGATATGATGTCGATAATCCATCATAAGCTTTTGAATGCAACAATAATGGGGTATCTTGCCAAGTATGTGTGTTTTAGTACTTTGCTGCATTCAGTCTTCAATACATGCCTTCCAGGCTGGATACAATTACACGTGGGCAGTCTGTATCTGAATGCCATTGTCCGAGCCGCCAAAGCAATGAAAATTAGAGATCCCCAACTCCCGTCTGATATGTGTGGGCAAGGTTGGGCCAAAGAAGCGGAGTACATATACAGAAATAGGAACACAGAATAGGAGAGTTTGGAGTGCCGAGTTCGGGTTGCCTTGACTGCCCCCTAAGAAACCACGGAATACAGCCGAGGGCGAAATTGATATAAAATTAGTCGCGGCTGGGTGGATCTCGGGGAAAACAAATGTGGCTGACGAATAGGAGTCGTTAGGGTTGACAATAGGGGGAAGAGTCCACGTTTCAAAAAAAAAAAAGAACTATTATATACGAATGTACAATGTACAATATAGGATACATTAACATATTAAGCCTGCGAAACTATTCAGTGATACCACGATGTAGATCCCTCTTATTGAATTAAAATATCCATAGGAAGAACCCTGGGGGATATTAGGATCCGCACTGGGTTCAACTTCTCATAGGCTAGACTCCACATCGGAATTAGGAAAGCTGCCAATTTTGATTCGTTTCAAACGATGTGGCTAGTTCAGGGCTTGGTGCAATCTTGGTCTTGGCATTCAGGCACATAGTATGTTGTAGTCGTTGACCCTTTGTTATTCCCTTAGCTTGATACGGAGTACGGAGTATATCTTTATACCCGATGATACTATCCCTCCTATACTCCTATACCTCCGAATATGAGTAGAGGCTCTTCGGCCGGTGGAACATCGACCAGTAGCTTAGGGAACACCGGTCAACACTTATACCAAGTTCTCATCTTCACAACAACCAGTATTTAGAGCCGACGCCAATATCATCGTGAGCCCTGAGTGAGCATCTCATTCATAGTCACGATACTAGTGCATGTTTTCCATTAGCCTCTGGATTTGCCAATTTTTCTGTTCCTATCCCCCAACTCGCCTTTCATCTTCCTAGCCCCTAACCCCCACACCAGCCGGGCTTGGTTTACCCTTTTGATCAAATCACCTCTCTTTGGAGAGCGTTGTCTTCTCGTGCAACCTTCCCCGAGCTCGGACTTACCTGGCTATACTTCTTCAGCATACACACACACCTTGGAAAAGTCCGATATGATTACACTCCTCGTGTCAGTTGGATACTTCACGACACAATGTCTGGGTCAAGCCGTAAGCTCATATTATTGACTTATAAGTTCCAAATCTAATTGTACCGAATAACAGTCATTGAGCCAAATCGATGGGAGGAGATTGTCGACCTTCCCCGACGCCTGTTCGAATGGTGTGCTTGGCCAAAAGACACTCAATCCGACCCCGTATCGGCAGATTGGCTGATGGGGCTCTGGATCAAAATTCCAGCTGGGTCATTTCTTACGGCGAGAATACTTTGGAAGCATGTACCCGTGGAAGATCTCGTAGACCAGTCTGAGGGTGAAATGCTCGAACTCCCACCAGACGTGAGAAAAAAGGCCATGGATTGCTGTCTGCAGTTCCGTCAGTTCGTGACATACTGTACCGACATCGAGGATTATGGTGGAACTAAGCCCAAGGATTGGGATTGGGATAGGTTCGATCTTGGTCCATTCTTAACCATTCGCAGCCTCCAATTCACAATTCGCCGGGATAAAGAGAGACTAAACGAGTCTGACGATACTCCTTCACTAGGAGCCATAAACCACCTGTAAACGCTTCGGACACGCGAAAAGATGAAGAGATGCGGGAAGCCCAAGACGTGACCAGCGACCCTATGTCTACTGATTTAATGTGAGAGATATATTGGAGATTGAAGAAGCTAAGCTATGAAATTAAGAAATTTGACAAGTTGGCTACTTGAGAAAGCTAAAAGTTAGACGCTGAGTTCTGATAGGAAGAACCATGATCCATTCAATCCAGCAAGAGGGTATTTATACCCTCGAGGCTAATAAGCAAACTGCTCAGTCTGCAAGCAAACAAGTTTGAACAATCAAGCATTAATGGGATGATCCAACAAGTTTTGACGATCTTCAAGCCCCTTTTTGCTAGTATCTCCTTGTACAACTGGCCACGCCCATTTTAACATTCTATCAATCGTGTCATAGTATTTAGGCAAGTCGATGATGTCAAAGTAGTTTTTCTCAGGTGGGGGCTCGACTGCGAATGGTGTAAAATCCACGACCCCGGTAAACTGAACCCTCAACCTACCATCAAAATAAGCATAGAGGAGGCGGCAAGGCCCATACAAATCGAACTGTTTTCCGCCTAGAAGAGGCCAATCTCTACTATACGGCCGTAACAGGTATACACAATACCCAATATATAGATCTATTGAGACTTCCTCATCTCGGAATACGACAGTATCTCCTTCGTCAGATAGGGTATCCCTAGGACATAGACGTAATTAACTTACGTGCTGCGTTAGTAGGTATCACGACTCCATCGGTATAAAGTAACATCTCCTCAGCCACGTGCCCAGTCATATTCAGTAATAAAGAACGAGAGGCTGTCATAGCGGAATCGCAAGAATGGAATGAGTCTGAACAGCTGCTGTCCCAGATAAGAGAATACCTCGGTATAGACCTGGAAGGTGGGACCGAGCTAGATAATGTGGAGAGAGCGGTGGAGGGCAATCGACAATTTCGTATGGAAATGCTACGGCAAGCAGAAGTGGACGAGCGGGAGATTTGTTGGCGAAACTGGCCGTATAAGGATGATGAAGATGTGAAGATGACAGCATGCCTCCTGAGATCTAACTTTTGATGAGAATAGTATGCTTATTCATCTCGGTGGTTGGTATGCCTAGTCAGTAACGCTAGATCCTCCTGAAGGATCTAGAGTTACCTGATATATTTACATACAGGAGATATTGTTTTGGGTAGTATGTACGGAGTAGGTTTATCTACAATGTCTTGGCGTCTTGGCATGAACCAAGAGGCTACAAAGTGATTCCCGGGGAATTCAACGAGGCTTATCATATGTACACACGGAGTCCGTCCACGGTACCATAAAGGAAAACGGTCGTTAGTTATATGTACTATATATTACAGTCTCGGTAATTCAAAAGTATACCCATTTGCTTTCACGCACTATTATAGTACTACAAACATAGTGGTTTTCGCGGTATAGCATCTACATAGTATAGTTAGAGATGGAAAATCCAGTATGTTCTTACGATTCTAATATTGTCCTAGTATGCATATAACCAAACAGGGCTGAGATATCTAATCTGCAAGAATATCCATAGCGTCAGATCTACTAGACTACTACCATGTACGACTACTTGCACTCCATAATCGGATCCAAAACCTGACCAGTGATAATTATCAGATTGAGGGACGAGCACAAAACCACACCGATGTGGACTAGTCAGATATCCAGAAAAATGCAATCCCCATGAAACGAGTGGCGAGGATACACCAAGGTACGAAGTGCCACATCAGCCCTAGGTCAGTGTTGAAAGACTGACCGAGGTTGACCGCTACTTCGACCAAACAAAAGAATAGAAGAGTTGAACAGCGAAAAGGCCCAAAATAACAAGGATAAACGAGGTAAAAGGAAAAACAAAGAACAGCAGAATCATGCATTTGTTAGCATCCCTCCATGCCCCAAGCCAAAACCAGGCGCGCCACCACATTTCGGAAAAACCACGACGCCGAACGATGGAGAAAAGGTATAAACCACCTCATCAATTTACCAAGCAGCCAGTGCCGTGCATTATCATCATGGTGAACATTGCGAATATTGCCGCAAGAGACGTATGGAAAGAACAATGAGCACCCTGTCGCGGGAAAGGAAGACTAGAATAAACCAACCGAGGGACCCGAGACCAGTCGAGGATGCCCGTATGAACAGAATGCAAGAAGAAACAGAGTAGATCAAACTGATGCCAGTTAAATAAGGAAACCAAAGAGAAAAAAGAACAAAAGAAACAGGCCATTCATTCAACAAAAGGAGAGGACAGACAATATCATATAGAGAAGATCGTCATGGCAGAAGGGCGATTGTGGAGCTATGCGAAGCTTCGAGTGACCGGAGGTCCCGAGGTATCAAGCTTCAGAACTCGACGAATGTCATTCTCGATTTGCCTGGTGTCTACCACACGAGAAGGAGACGGTGAGCTGACCGGCATTTGAAATGGAGACGCCGCGTGGCTTGGTTGGGGGGAAGCATATCCAGACCGCTGATCCTGGGAGGTTGCCATGTACGGATTACCATACGGCGCCGGGGAACCTCCGTTCGAGGCGCGGTTTGAGACCGGGCCACGATAGGGAGGCATCGAAGGAGGCGGGACGAGGTCAACCTCACGGCGCAGAGGTGAGTGAGAATGGGTGGGGTATTGATACTGAGGACGTCCAGTGTTCTGAGGAATATGCTGCTGTTGCAGCTGTTGATTAGAGAATGAGGAATGAGACAAGGTCAACTGAGGGCCAGACGTGGTTCGCATAGGAGTGGCATAGGGAGGCACATTGGAAGGACGGGGCCCAAAGGATCTAGCATGATCGTGAGAAGCATAAGCCGAGGAAGGCGGCTTCTGCGGGGGTGGATTGAGTAACAGGTGCTTCAGCTCCTCGGTTTTGATTCGTCGCTCCTCCTCAGTCATGTCAGAGGACTGGGAGGTACTCGACGGTCGCAGCGCATTCATACGATCTTGGTAAGAAGGAGCGAAAGAAGGACCAATGTGTAAGTTGCGAGTGTAATCAGAGTTTCCCATTTCAAATGCAAACATGCCATCAGGATTAGGGCGCAAGGCTCTGGGTTCGGTCTGAGGGGACTGAAGGACCTTGTTCACCTCAGGGCTGCTCGTGGACTTCTGGTCTCTGGCTTGCACAGCAGCCTTGAAAAGAAAGTCGAGAGGGGAAGGCTTGGGCTCTTCAGCCTTGAATTGGTTGCTGCGGTTGCGAGGCTTGGACGGAGTCACATCTGGTTCGGGGTCCACCTCCGCATCGTCACTATCGGTCTCGATGGGCGGGACCAAATTGGGATCAGGAGCCGACTTAGAGAAAAAGCTAGGAATGGGTAAAGCAGATGGTGCAGGTGATGCATGGAACGTCGGTCCCGCGTAGGCTGCGCTCGGCTTTGGCTGAGGAGAGGTGACAGCAGGCTGCGTTGGTGTGTATCGGGGACCACTGTTATACCCGTTGCTATGGTATCCAGATGTCGCAGGTGAAGCCTTGCTGTCCCGGGGCTTCTTCCCTGAACGCATTGGCTTCTTCTTTGAGGAGTTGAAGTTGGTTAAAGAATCCACCTGGATGACCCCGGGGCTCATGTTATGCGGTGGGGATGATGGGGGAGTAGAGAGGAGCGCCGGTTTCTGGGCGTGAGGGGTTGTATTCTTCTTCTGAGGACGCCGGTTGTTGCGCGATCCCTTAGGGGTTGGTGGATGAGGAGATTGGGTCGACATGTCGACGGTTGGCTTGAAAAATAGGCAGCCTGGAGAGAGAGGTAAAGAGAAAAGGCAACGCTATGACGAAGCAGTAAAAGGCAGAAGATGCGGAGATTGCAGCAAAATGAGTCAGATCACTGCTCAGCAGGTGTCGACAATATTAAATATGGCAACGCTGGGGAAGCAGAGAAAGTGACGTGTATCAAACTGTGGTAGTGAACGAGTCGCAAGTTGAGTCAAAGCAGACGCTCAAAGGTAAAGATAGACAGTCTATTAAAAGAACTTGTCTACGAAACGGAGAGTGTGACAAAAGGTCAAAAACGAAGATCAACTGGAGACATCTCTAAAGAGGAAAAAAGAAGTAAAGAAGAGGAAGATTGAATCATTGTTGTTGGTTGAAGGGAAAGACCATCGAATGCAGACAAACGAGGAGGGGACTCCGATCCCATCTCGATGACTAATGACGCCACCTGCTTCACGATCTCAAGAACAAACCAAGTCAAACAGAACTATTGACTGCTGGACAGGGTCTCATTGTCGCGTTGTGCATTGAGTACCCTTGGAGATATCTGTTGTTCTAACTCCCCCAAATCAGACCTTGTCCGTTCCATCTCGACGCTCTACACTACAATCACCGCTCAATCACCGCTTTAACCTGGCCATCGGAGCCTCACTTACGTCAGTCACCGTTCTGATCCCCCCACCTCAGCTAGCTTCTGTTGTCTCGCGCCAAGCATTTCAAACCGACCCCATCCAAATTCCGACGAGAATCTCAATATGGCCGACGTGGAGATGAAGGAAGCCGCTACTGGCTCCTCCAAGGGCAAGGCCGTGGTCAAGGCCTCCGATAATGCCGACAAGAAGAAGTTCGAGGTCAAGAAGGTACGCAAAAGATCTACTGTTTGCAGCGACTCATGATACTGACTGGCTATTGTCAAGTGGAACGCTGTTGCCCTGTGGGCTTGGGATATCGTTGTTGACAACTGTGCCATTTGCCGAAACCACATCATGGACTTGTGTACGCTGAAACTACCCCCCGACGCTCTTTTATCTTACAAGCTGACCGACCGATGAAACAGGCATCGAATGCCAGGCCAACCAAGGATCATCAACAACAGAAGAGTGCACTGTTGCCTGGGGTATCTGCAACGTGAGGACCTCCGCATCACCCCATCCGACCATGTGATCATAAACTAATACCTCCGTTTCTATAGCACGCATTCCACTTCCACTGTATATCCAGATGGCTCAAGACCCGCCAGGTCTGCCCCCTAGACAACCGAGACTGGGAGTTCCAGAAATACGGCCGGTAAAGTGGGACCAGGGGTTTCAAAGACACTACACGATACAATTCACGATTTCTGGCTGATGGCCGCATGCGCAATGGCTATAACTTGAACTTTTTTTTTTTTCAAAGACGCTTCTGGATCTTTACGACGGCTAGGGATTGGCGGGCGTTCGAACGATTGATGTGTCGAGCCAGCTCCATAGTTTCCCATTCTCATATTCCGTAGCAGACAAGAAAGCGCTGCCATCCAATGATTATTACGCTTGACAATTTCTCAATAGCTTATTGCACCTTCACCCCGTCCACAGTTATACCCGGAGTTGCCCTCGCGCTTGTTGAACCCAACCACTTCTCTGGGTTACGGTTGTATACCGGCCAGGGCGGGACAACGACGAAAGCTGTGAACAGTGTGCCCGCCAAGCCAGTCCATAACGTAAGGTGAATGTCTTTGTAGATGTATCCGACGAGGAAACTGGCGGCCTGGAGCAGATAAAACAATCGTCAGCTCGCTCTGGTAATACAAAACTCAATATCTGTGCAACATACCCCTGATATAACCAGCAAGATGGTCGACAGTAGGTCTGCTAGACGTTGGCCGTGGAAGTCCTGTTATCAAGATCTTGTTAGCTTCGATGGTCCAAAAGCGCAGAGCAATAGGGGCGGTGCGGCGGAGCGTACGATTTGGCCTTCAATGGCATCTTGAATAGGGGCGAGTAATTCATCCATGATTGAAGCAAGTTAATCAGATTCGAGGTCAACACGCCGGATCCCTTGATCGATGCCGGGCGGCTTATCGCAATGGTGTCATTTGTATTCTGCCATGTCGGACCGCCTTGCTCTCTACAATGTACGAGTCGTACGGAGTGCACGACACTTCGTCAAAGTACGTACACAAAATACGGATCGAAGCTGTAACATAATTTGAACTCAATGATTTTTCCTTGAGAAATTGACCCGATGTTAATCTTGAATCATTACGTGGTTGATCATGATTTCATTCGATATCATCTGCCATCTATCTCTAGAGCCACGGTCCACCGGAGCACTGCTGGTGGGAACCTGGCCTCGAGAAACTCGGCCTACGGTCGTGTACCGGTGTACAAGACCCTGCAAATCCAAACTTAACCCGAATCCAACTTGCCATGTCGGAAGGCTCACATGCACCCTGCAATGCGAGAAGCAAGGAGCGGTGAAACGAGATCTTGATGGCCCATGTGGTGGCGGTTAGGGAAAGATCATCCTTCCCATATCCAACCAAATACGCATTCCCCCGGGTCCCAATGCTGCAATGCTGCCACGTGCTTGTATGTCAAGCGCGGCGAATCGCTGACTCACATGCAGCGATTGTGTTGTGACGACACAAGGCGCCGGTTTTTAATTATAGGTGACAGTTGCGCCATCCTGAGCAGGCTCCAGCAGCTTCCATTGGCACGAGATATTATTGGAAGCGAACTGCGCGATAATGCGGTCAGCAATCTCGGTGAAGTTATCCGTGGCCAGTGCCAGGATGGTAGGTCCTGCACCGGAGAGACAGATTCCTAGCAGACCGGGTTGAGTGGCCGGGGTCATGAATTGGAGAATTTCAGTCAATCCTGGGATCAGCGTCTTGCGATACGGCTGGTGCACCTTATCCTGCATGGCGAGGAAGATCATATCAGGATCCGGCGGGGAACTTCCCAAGGCCGCTGGGAGGAGTGCCGCGCGCTGGAGATTGAAGACCTAGCCGAGGATTAGTCTGGAATCAGATAGTTTATCAATTCTGGACATTCACATACCACGTCCGCTCTCGAGTAGGTCTCCGGGAGTACATTACGGGCGTTGGCAGTAGGCACCACAAAGTCCGGGATAATGGCAATGGCCTTGATCTCCGGGGCCCAATTGAACTTCCTGTAATGACCAATGGCCATGGGTGGCGCGGGGGGTCTGATTCCGGTGTCCACACCACCTGCCGGAGCAGGCAGGACTTCACTGAGGGGGATCTCTTTGCGTGCCACGTCCTCGGGCTTAAGCTCATTCAGATAGGTGCCCACGAACCCACCGAAGAGGGAGGCAGCCACATTATCCGGGTGCCGCTCTGTTCTCACGCGTTAGTAAGATGTACGTACGAATCATGGGAATTTTTTTCCCCCCCCGAGGACTCAAATGAGGGGCACATAGAACACTCGAACCTACCAATCATCAAACAAAAATCGAGTAGTCGTTCCTTGCTCAGACCCAGCTTACCCACCTCATTGCCCAGCATGACACCGGCGACCACCGCAGTACCAGAGGAGCCCAGACCCCGGCCTAACGGGATGGGGTTGGTGATATGCACCTTGGTCTCAACGGGGAAGGCCCGCTGGTCATGACATCTGAGGACATACAGGGCTACACGGGTGATCAGATTGACTTCTGGATCGAGACTGATCTTCTCAACACTCTTGCTTTGGTCCTCATAGGTGATGGCGCAGTTGAAGGGGAGCTGGGATGAGGGTTTGGCCTCGATGGTGACGTGGAGATCCAGATAGAGAGACAATGCCAGGCCGATCACATCGAATCCGGGGCCAATGTTGGCCGAGGAGCAAGGAATCTTGATCACGAAGGAAGTCATGATAAAGATGGCTATACGTTTGTGTGTTACAGGGGTCTAAACACACAAGATGTACAAGATCGTCTGATAGTCCGGTATGTGACTCTGAGAACTCTTGGCGCCACCAAAAAAAGTGGCCGACGTCGGAAACGTAAGTGGAGACCTTTTCTTCATTAATCGACGATTTCTTTTGATTGGATTTGATTGGATTTGTGAGGATGTCAAATCCGATCTCGAATCCGATTGCATATATTCTGCATTGTCGGTGTGTGTTTACCCTATACTTCGTATTCTTGCACATCTGTTCCATGTAGAAAGGCGAAACTTGAGAAAAAGGGGCTATTTTTTTACCGAGATAGATTGCCCTAGAATACTATTGTGTCATATAACCTGAAAATAGCCAAATGCCAAGGGCAACAAAGGTCCAAGGCCAATATGTACTCCCGTAGGATGGTAGTATAGGACCGGGGGGAATGCAAGAAGTCAAAGCCGCATAGATGACATTCGGCATAAAATGCCTCAAGGAATTACTCTTTGAGTACGAAAACTATGTTGTACGGCGTACTCCGTAGAGACAATGATAATAATATGACAGGTTATTTTATAGTCCCTCTTATAGACCTGCTGAAACGGGGGGTACCCGCTTGCAAAATTTTCACCTTTGTTTCTCCCTTTTTCTCGGTCATATCACCTCCTAACCGGGGGGGGGGGGGGGGGGGGGGGGGGGGGGGGGGGGGGGGGGGGGGGGGGGGGGGGGGGGGGGGGGGGGGGGGGGGGGGGGGGGGGGGGGGGGGGGGGATGG